TTCTAGACAAAATGACCAGCCCAATAAAACAGACTCAGGATTCTGAAGCAGGGAACCCCCAATGTAACCCTGCAATGAAGCCCACCCACTGATGCAAAGAGATTACAATCAGCTCTTGACCTTCAGTCTTAAGTGTGAATGGATGGCCAAGGACCACCAGTTATTTGAGGAAAGCCCCTACCACAAAACAGTCCAACAAGAAAAAGGAGCTCAGAGGAAAACAAAAAATATTCAGTAAGGCAGACACCTCAAAAACTGAACACAAACCCAATAAGCTATAGCTTCAGACTACCTGAAAAAAAATTTTTTTTAAAGGAGGGCAGTGTTACTGGCCCTCATGTGGGATCCGAAGCGGGGCCCTCTGGCATCCCAAGCCAGTTCTTAACCATCGCACCACTCGGCCAGTCCTGCTATAGCTTCAGAAAAGGAAGATAATGCATGTAGGGAAAAAAAAGAAAAAGCACTTTAGAAAAGGAACACAGAACAAGAAATGCTCAAAAATGTTTTAAATTCAATAGAAGAGAGAAAAGTTAACATTGGAAACCAGCCTCCAGAAACAGACAAAAGAGGAGAGAAAGCAGACAAAAGAGGAGAGAAAACGTAAGAAAATTAGACGGTCAATTCAAGGTCCAACTTCCAACTAATAAAAATTGCAGAAAGAGAACAGAGAGGAGAGAACTGTTAAAACAGATAATACAAAAACATTTTCCAGAACTGAAGAGATCTTTAGATCAAAGTACCACCAAATGGGAGCAAAATGAATGAGAATGGACCAACATCAACTACATTATTACGCAATGCATTCCAATCCATTCACATAGAGACTGGAAAACAAAACTTAATGAGACAGGTACAAAAAGTAAGCTAACAAAAAGAAGGGAGTTTTTTATTCTTTAAAAAATAAAAGAATTGTACAAGAAAGGAACAAAAATCAGAGTAGACTTAAAGGCTCAGTTGGGAAAAATGACATCGTTGTAATAATATAAACACTAAAAAATGAATGAGCCCAATACTGAAGGACAGAGAGGGGAAGGGTGTGAATGGTGAGTGGAGTAAAAGAGCTAAATCTTCCATAGGAAGTTGATGATTAACATCAAAAGTTGAGAAATTGGGGCTGGCTAAGTGGCTCAGTTAGTTTAGAGTTTGCTTAAGAGTACACACTCTGAGGGCCGGCCAGGTGGTGCATTGGTTGAGCTGGCTTGGGACACCAGCTCTGAGCAGCAGGACCCTGGTTCAGATTCCACATGAGGGCCAGTGACTCTACAGCTAAGATGGTGAACAACAGCTCGACCTGGAGCTAGGCTGCCATTGAGTCACTGGCGACGGCGTAGGCTGCAGCCCCTGCTGCAGTGGGCTGCCATAAGCTACTGTGAGCGGCCAGCAGCCAGTGTGAGCGGCCATCCAATGGCTGGCGACCTATCTGCCTCACCTGGGAAGAGCGGAATGATCACAATACAAACATGGGCCAATGAAGTAAAGTACTCCACAAATAGACTGAAGAACAAAAGGACAGCAACTTGTCTGTTCCCCTCCCCCAATTTCCCAATAAAATCTTAAAAAAAAAAAAGAGCACACACTCTGAGCAACAGGGTCACTGGTTTGATTCCCACATGAGCCAGTGAGCTACGCCCAGCTGTGCCCGAACTGAGCTGCTGCTGAGCTGCCAACAGGTGGCAGGATGGCTCAGCTGGTGAGAGCACATGCTCCTAATGACAAGATTGCCTGTTCGATGGTGGGCTACATCCACCCATGGCTGGGACTGAACTCGGCACCTTGAGCTGAGCTGCCGCCCGGATGGCTGTGGATAGAGCGTGCGCTCCTAACAGCAAGGTTGCCGGTTTGACTTCTGCATGAAAAAAAAAAAAAAAAGTTGAGAAATTAAGAATTAAGAGCACAAGCATATTATTTGGAAATATGGAAGCAATTAACAAAAGAAACAACCATCAGAATGCAAGGAGCTGCTTCTGGGCTGTGGGACCTCAGGGCCTGGGGAGAGGACAGCTTTTTCTTCATAAGCCTGGGATACTGAGTCTAAATTAGAAAGGTACTTTTGGAGGTGATGGATATGTTTATGGCACTCACTGTGGTAGTGGTTTCACGGGTGTATACTTATCTGCAAACTCATGGAGATGTATACATTAAATATGTGCAGTTTTCTGTATGTCAATCATACCTCAATGTGGTGGGGTTTTTAATAAAAGAGATGAAACTATAAAAATAAAACTTTGATAAAGAGAGGGGAAAAAAAACAAGTAAGCTAGAGGTACATTTAGCGTACAAAGATACTATACAGTTGCTAACAGGGTCAAAACATGCCACACAGTAACATGGACTTGGTTTTGCTTTTTCTTCCGCCGCAAACTATTTTTAAAATTCCAATTCCAAACAGGGTTTCCTGCATTTGCAGTCATCCTGGAGGACAGTGGTCACCTAAGCTTTTGGCACAATTCTCCAGAGAACGAAGAAACACGCAAAGACACGGGGTGGGGATTGAAAAGAATTCCCTAAGGATGTGGGCTCTCAAAGTTTGGATCTGAACAGGCAGGGTCAGCAGCTCCTCTGGAGAGTTCTTCCAGCTCTAAGAATTCGAATTCTACTCAGAGCAAAAGGCTGTCTGCAAATGCTTCAGTGACCCTGTGTGCTTTAGGCAGGCCTTTGGCAGAGAGCAGGTGGCCGAAGCTCCAGGCTAAACCCCCTAAAGTCTCTCTGTTCCTCCGTTTGGTAACGTTTTTTTCTTTTCTTTTCATCAGGACTAAGGTGACCGAAAGACTCAGGCCTCTCTCTTATACAGTCAGAATGTCCAGAGTCCTGGATGTTAAAATCTACCACTTCCTGAAGGTCCTTTGCAGAGGAATCAGAAATTGTGTCCCAAATCCTGCCACCTCCCTGCCAAATGGAGCTGAATGAATAACTGAAACATCTGCCTTCAACAGGAAGTAACTCAGCACACCACTTAAGCAGTGAGTCAGCTCAGGAAGTATTATCCTGGGGTAAAAACAGCTCCCCAGGGTTGGCATGGGGGGCTCCAGAGGAAGGGCTCCTGGGCAGTGCAGCGTGGGGCACCATAGCCCCCAGGCCTGGGTCTCACTTGAGGCCCTGCTGGAGAGCCAGGCAAGGCCATGCAAAGCAATGTCTGCCAGACACCCAGGCTCTGTGCCAACCCACCAAAGGCAAGGAGGGAGAAATGGATGGCAGTTCTTATGCAACAGAGCTTCCTGCCTTATTTTTAGCCCCAAGAGGGCAGAAAGGCCCCAAATGGCATTCAGAGGGAGAAGAAGGCGAATGATTAAAAGCTATGGCTCTGACCCTGACCATATTGTTAAGATGGGATTGTAATGGTGGCACTAAATCTTCTATTTTTGAGATTTGGACCTCTGGTATAATTCAAATTAATAAGTGTAATTTAGCTAGGGCTTTTTGAAAGTTTTCTTTTCTTTTCCTCTTAATGATTCTGCTTCCTATACATACACTACGCAGTTTCAATGTTTCTATTTACTTGGGCCTGTGACTTGGGAGAGGTTTTGCGTCTGTATAAGATCCACTCTCCTGGGGCTACCCAAGTGGAACGTTAGTTAACAGTTGGCCAGCTCTGAGCAGCAGGGCCCCAGTTCGGATCCCACATGAGGGCCAGTGGCACTGCACCCTCTACAGCTAAGATGGTGAACAACAGCTCAACCTGGAGCTGGGCTGCCGTGAGTCACCGGAGACGGCGTAGGCTGCAGCCCCTGCTACAGTGGGCTGCCATAAGCTACCATTTGTGGCTGGCAGCCAGTGTGAGCAGCCAGCAGCCGGTGTGAGCAGCCGGCAGCTGGCATGAGCCGTGAGCTGCCGTCCAATGGCTAGTGAGCGACTGCCTCACCTGAGAAGAATGCAATGATAATACCAACATGGGCCAGTGAAGTGATGTCCTCCACTACTAGAATGAAGAACAAAAGGACAACAACTTGTCTGTTCCCCTTCCCCGAATCCCCACTGCTGCTCCCCTCCCCCAATTCCCCAAAAAAATCTTTAAAAAAAAGATCCACTCTCCTGGATCCAATTTACATCTACATAACGTATGCAAAGGTTTTGATAACCAGCTTTCCCACCTTCCCCCACCCCCAACTACAGGAAAACATAAAACTTGAGACCAAACAAAGACTTGACGCAGTAGTCTGCAGCAGACTGCCCAGCCAAACCGTCTCTTACTTTAATAAATCTTCTATATTTCTACCTGAATTCGGGAATTCTTTCACGGCCTGCAAGCGAGCAGACACAACACATATCACCTGCATGCTGTGATATGTGAGCCTAGGCATGGCACTGAGGTTTCAGAGCCTCTACCTCCTCATCTGAGTGTGGGCATCATAGGGATGGCCGCTCACAGGTGTTGACATTCACAGGAGATGGTGTATGTAAAAGCCTCAGAACGGTGACTCGCACACAGTGAGTATGTGAATGTGATTTAATGACGATCTCCTCAGAGTGAGCCTTGCAGGGAGCACCTCCGAACGAGGCGGGAGGAATGTTAGGTTTTCAGGCTCCCATGGAACAGAAAGCCCTCCTTCTGGGAGCCATGCCAAGCTCCCCCGCCTAACCCCAAAGCAAAGGTTCCAAACTCTCAAAATAGCTCAAACACCTTACAGTGTGGTTAGTTGTGTGTGCGCTGTTGTGTCTTCTGTGCTGTATTCATATCAGCCCAGCCTGCTTCCTCCCAGGGTCAGCTCCACCTCTGCAGCCCAGCATGAGAACCACTGCAACAACTGTATTACTCACTTGGCATGCAGCACGTACTGCCATATTTGTCTCTGGATATGCCAAGACCTCAACTACATAGCAAATTCAAGGGCACAGGCTGTTTTCTTCCTTAGAGGTCGCAGATTGCCTGGCATTAGACCTTCCCCACAGGAGACAATGACATGTTCCCAGACCGTGTCCTCAGTGAACTGTCCCAGCATGAGGGTCTCCTTCACATGTTTACCTAGCTGAGAGCCCCCGAGTTTCCTCTGGGTATCACTTACCTCATCCAGCTGTTTCTTTGTCTCTTCTTCCATCCTTCGAATGTCGTCCATAGTCAGGTCAACCCACTTATCGAGCCAACAGAACAGCTGCCTGTGGAAGTTTGTAAACAGACGCTTCTCTTGCTATAAAAAGGAAGGAGCCCAGTTAGAATCCCGTAAGGTGAAGGCCACTGCTGCAGCGCCTCTCCCCATGATCTCTGAGCCAATACCCACACTTCACTGGGGAGGAGGGATGTAGGGCTTGTTTGTCTGGACGAACCCTCCAGTCCCATAGGTCAGTGACTTTTACCTTCACATGTCTAACAGGCATGGCTTCAAGTAGGAGGGAGCCCCCAGGAGAGAATGGGTAGCTACCTCACAGCTAGGCCCTACACCAAAGTGTTACTAAGACAGGCAGCCTGTGCGCTCACAGCTAAGTCAAAGCCCCAAAACAACTGTGCCAAGTTTCCTCCTACTCTCTGGAGCCTAACGGCAGGTTAAAACTGGCCAGCAGCTATGAAATGTGGCCCAGGAGTGAGGCTCTAACGTATCAGGAAAAAGGTTATAAAAACTCCTTATGTTTGCCTAGTTCAGTAATTCAGGGCACTGGAGAATTTGGCTTGCAGTACTTCTTGCCTTTTGGCTTCAAGGAAAGAGAGACTGAGTTTTATTTGTATTTCAACTATAGCCAGCCCAATCCTGTTTCCTTTTCTTGCCTCAGTTTCCTTCCGTCACATGTGGTGCCCTTGGATACTGAGCATTAAACCGTAAGACAGTTAAGTACAAGGGGAAGTGGGGGTCTAGTGGATCACACTGAAATAGCTGAATGTCAGACATCCTAGGACACAAGTCACATGGGTTGTATGCTCTTCTCATGTTGGGCAGAACACCCCCACCAACATACTCACACTAGGAAGGCCTTACCCTGGTAACTTACCTTATGTATAAAGTTTTCCACTTTGTTCTGCAGGCCCCACCACTTGAACTTGACAGTAACCAGTTTGTATGCACACATGTATGGGCAGTCTTTCTGATTTACAAGTTCTTGCTGTATTAGAAACACACCCACAGGGTAGGCAGATAACTAAGAGGGCAGACCTCTGACTCTCCCTTAGCCCAGTCCCAGCAATTCCCTTCCTCCACAGTGAGAGGCCCACCCACTCTGTGCCCGGCCCCCCTGGTGGTGAGGGTGTAAACTGCACCTTCCAATTGGGGCCCAAGGGTCCTCGGCCTGTTTTGATAGATTTAAATTTTGCTGGGTCTTCTTCTGCCTTGTAATCCTGAGAGAAGTTGTAGAATTGGAGTTGGAGGAGACAGGGAGGGAGGAAGCGGGGAAGGGAGGAAGGAGGAGAGAGGGAGACAGGGGAGGGAGGGAGGGAGGGAGGGAGAGAGGGAGAGAGGGGTCAGGTTTTCCATCCGAGTATACTTTACACCAGTTTTAATGCTGCTGGCACACAGAAAATATAGGAAAATATTATAAACAAGATATAGAACTGTTCACATTTGCCTCAGAGGAGCGTTCTGTGTGATTTTCTCTGCCAGGGTTTGATTTCAATTTTATCGTATGAAAGTGTCACCAGACTGTCTGAGCAGCATGGAGATTTCCACTGTCTAAGACCTGGGGTGAGCATTCAAATTACCAGGGACGGTTTCTTCAAAATACAGATTTCTGGGCCACTCCACCTAAAACCCATGAAATAAAAATAACTGCAGGTAAGGGCACCATGGATTTTTTTTTTTTTAAACCTCTGGAGGTGATTCTAAAACAAAGCCAGAGGTGAGAACAATCGGCTGTTACTCATGAAATATTCTAATCTGATCTCCCTCTGGTTTGTTTTTTGTTTCAAACTGGCTTGTTTTAATAAAATCATAATTGGAAATGTTCAATGTATAGAACATGGAATGTTCGCTGTATAGTATCATCTTGTATTATTGTCAATCTCACTTCACTGCTTTATAATGCAGTCAATGCTGTGTGTTAATGAACCATAACAGGAGTTTAATCTTTGGCTATTCCTCTGCATTGACTAATGTGGGCTCAGGAACCGCAAACTCATTATAGCATCTACTTAACACAAATAATAAAGATAACAAATCTCACACCCAGTCATAAAGCATTTCCCAAAGCTAAGGAATTTATATGTGCTTTAAAAAAGTAAATTTCCCCCACCTCTGCTTCTCTCCATTCACACGAGATAACCAGAGTTGACAAAATACTCGAAGAGTCATACTCTTTGCTAGTGTTTCTGTTTGAGAAATATTGGGGTATGTTCAGTTTGAGAAAAACCACCAGGCTGTACACTTATGACATATGCACTTTGCTATATATGTTATACTTCAATAAAAAGTTTTTTGGAAAAATCCATTATTAACCTTTTGACAGTGGAAGTGGGGATATCAGGTAAGGAAGCACAAGATGGTTTTCATCTTTTTGGAAATGCACAAATCAAAATATCTTAAGCACAAAGAGTGATTCTAGGAAGGAGGTATCATAGCCCTGGGATATGGAGAGCAAACACTTATTCCTGCTAATGGGCAGAGAGCCAAATTCCTGTGCCCTGATCCCAACAGGCCTCTGTCAGATAGGAAGAGTACTGAATGAGGGTGAACTACCCTCTCCTTCCCTAAACAAATACTTCCTGGGAGCATAGCAGTGAGCAGGACAGAGCTGGTCTCTGCTCTTTCCAGCAGCGGACTGTCCTTTCCCAGGTGTCTGCTGCCATGTTTGTCACTCTGAGAAACCACTACCAACTTCTTGAGGGCAGGGGACTTGTCTTTTCATATATCTGTACCCCTTACCTGGAACCCACAGAACAGAGTACTCCGAACACAACAGGCAGGCAAAAAAATGTTTCCTCATTACTGAGTTGATAAAATAACTTTGAGAACTAGTTTCAGGCTAAGTGTCATTTCAGCAGGGCAAATCGCCCTCAGGACTACTGACAGCACCTGCCTTGTCCAGTGGTAATTTCCAGAAGCCAAACAGGACACCTACACCTGGGCCACTAGTTCCCTGGTGTATCCCCAGGTCAAGACAAGGGAATTCTTAACACTAATTTAAAAAATAAAACAAACAATACCCAAGAGAGAGCTTGCCTTTGATCCACATTGGATCTGGATCCCTGGTTTCTCTGACACTTAGATGTCATTTCTGCATCTCAAAGGCCACCCACATGTCTCAGCAGTTCCTACCTTGCTAAGTACTTGGCTTCGATCTGCAATGTCTATATATATGGCTTCCACATGTTTCCAGGTCTCAGGCTCCAGTTTATGCACCTGCAGGAACGAGGAGGACCACCGTGTAGTTTTTGTCAGGCACAAAGTAGCCTTTACCCAGAAGGGACACCTAGCAACAGCTATTCCTATAGCCAGAGAGGTGAGATTTCTACTGGTAAAGTATTACGTACAAAATTACCCAAAGGGACAGGAGGATGGATTTTAAGTGGACATACGTTTAAGAACTAATGCTCTGATTTTTCAGGCTAAGTACCACTTCAGCAGGCCAAAACCCTCTCAGGCTACCTATAGAACCTACATTATTTCCATATGTTCCCCCTTTGTAAAGACTATAAACACTTGCGGATATGGTGCCTGCTTAGCCATATGCTTATTTTGATGTTTTTAAAAATTAACTTAAACAGGTTGCATATGTATATGACATGAAATTACGATACAAATTCAAAATGTACCAAAGGATATGATAAAGAGTAACTTTCTCTTCTCCCAGTCCAACCCCGAGTAACACCACAGCTACCAGATTCTATGCACATACGAACATCCATGTGCAAATGTTTTTCTTTAAATACAAATGGTAGCACACATACACACTGTTTGTTTTTCATCTTTCTTTCTTCACTGAATATATCTTGAAGACTATTTTCTATTGTTTTTTTTTTCTATTGGTTCTTTTTAATGGCTGCATAATATACCTCTATATGGCTGCATCACCATTTATTTAACAGTGCCCTATGGATGGGCTCGTTTTTTTTTAAAAGATGTTATTGGGGAATTGGGAAAGGGGAACAGCCAAGTTGTTGTCCTTCAATCTTATTTGTGGAGGGCACAGCTAGCTCAGCTCCCAAGTACAGTTGCCATCTGGCTGCCCGTCGGCAGCTCAACGTCGCTCAGCTCAAGGTGCCGTGCTCAATCTTAGTAGCCCACCATCCCATGCGGGAGTCAAACTGGTAACCTTGTTGTTAGGAGCACGTGCTCTCACCAGCTGAGCCATCCTGCCACCTGTTGGCAGCTCAGCAGCAGTTCAGCTCACTGGCCCATGTGGGAATTGAACTGGCGACCCTATTGCTCAGAGCTCACGCTCTTAACCAACTGAGCCACTCAGCCAGCTCCAGGCTCGTATCGTTTTTTTTGTTGTTTTTTTTAGCTGAGCTATCCTGCCACCTGTTGGCAGCTCAGCGGCTGCTCAGCTCAGGCCGTGAATGGAACCGGAAACCCTGTTGCTCAGAGCCCGCACTCTTGAGCGAGCTCTTAACCAACTGAGCCACTCGGCCGGCCTCCTCGTATCGTTTTCAACCTTTGACTACACAAAGAATGCTGCAACAAATCTCCTTGTGTATAAGTTATTTTACATACATGCAAACATAACCATATAAAAAATTCCTAGGTGTCGAATTGCTGGAGTAAAGGTGTATTTTAAATGTGAGGAATTATTGGCAAATTGTGCTCTACAGAGGCTGTAATTTTGATGTTTTAAAAATATAGCTCCTTTGTACCAGTAATTGTACTTTCAACCAATCCCAGTATTATGAAAAGGCCCTATAAGGGGTCCTAGAGAGCGTATTTTATAAATTAGTGACAGAACAATCCCATGCTAGTAAGACAGGTCTAGGCAGGCAGAGGCTGTTGACTTCCCGGCTAGGAAAAAGGTGGGCACACAAAGGATCCCAAGACAGGGATGGTGAAGCTAGACAGCAGAGCCTTAGGACCCTGCCCCAAGGCCTTGGAGCTCTTGGGAAGTGCGACTTACGTTCTCCTGGGTGCCAAGATCTGGTTTGTGCCAGGTTTCAATTTTAATCAGAAAGTCTTCCTTCATGTACTCATTCTGGAAGGGAGAAAACAAAAACAAAAAAACCTTACGGTCACCAGGCTCAAAGTTGGACAACCATCTCCCATGACTGGATCATAGCCTCTGCCTTATAGTAACAACCTGCTTTACTGGGAGCCCACAATATGCTAGCCATGTATTATCTCATTTAATCCTCATCCCAGCCTGCAAGGTCTGTAGTAAGATCGCCCTCGTTTTATAGACGAAGGAAGTGAAACTCAAAGGGGTGAGGTGGCTTGTCTAAGGTCGCAGAGATAGTGATAGAGCTGGGCCTCAAAATCAGCTCTGACTTCAAAAGGGTTTAACCTCTCTGCCATACTACCTATGCACAGGGTGCTAATGGTTAATTAGTAGTGTGGGAAGAACACAGAAAGACTTCCTAACCAACCAAAAATGTTCACCACCGCCCTATTCCCACCAGCCAGCCTTTCGCTGAGGCCAGAAGTTCTTTTTTCAGCAAATTAACCCTTCATGCTAATTACTGTCTTCCTCCCTTAGTGCTTTTTAAAAATTGGAACTATGCAAAGGAGGAACACATCAGCCCATTAACTCCTTAACAGGAATTAGGTTTCCGGCAACTGCCTAAGTTGACCAGCAGGGACAAGGCATTGGATGAGGATGTTAAAGGGTAGAGAGAAGGGGCAATGACACAGGGGACAGTCATGGAAGAGAAGCCTTGCTGCCTTCATAATTTTGCCAAGGGTCAGTGCTCACTGGCGTCAACAGATGCCCAAAGGAAAAGTCCCACTTAGGTGAGCTAAACAGAAGTTTCTGTACAACCCTGAAAAGGCATGACCTGGGGAGAGTAAAGGAAAGCCTCAGGTCATTCTGTACATGTGAGACCCACAGCTAGGATGCCACGGTCCTGACTGCTGCACCTTACAGAGCCAATGTGGCTTAAAGCAAGGGGCCACTTTGCCAATTAACAGGTTCCTCCTTAGGACTGAAAGGATTAAGCCTCAACAGCTCCAAAAGTCACCCAAGAGAAAGAGGGGAATACCCAGGAACCTCTGGTGCAGTTACATTTATTTCTTCTTTTCTTATAAATCATCTACAATTCCAACCCCCTTGAAAATACTTACTGTAATAACTGCTCCAAGGCAACGGCATGGAAAGAAGAGAGAAAAAGATTAATGAGGATGAATAAATAGCTGCCTCTCAGCCTCAGAGGCCACAACAGCCAAAGACTTCTCCACTCCCTGGGGCATATTCCACAATCACCCTCCCAGCCCCAGTGAGTGCATTTGGTCCCTCAAAAGCACCAACTCTCACGTTTCAATCATTCAAAAACCCCAAAAGACCAAATGTGGAATTTAATTAAAGAGATGCCACTATCAGCTCGTTGAGATTCGTTCTAGCTGGGCAAGGAAAAGGGACTGGTTCTTATGAGCTGAAGCACTGAGACCCACCACTGCTCCAGAGCATCACCTGGTGTCCCCCCCACCCCCACCCACTTCCCAGGGCACAGAACAGGGCACTTTAGGCCAGGTCTGTCTATCTGCCTTCTGCATCCTTCCTCTCACTGTAACCAAACCTCTCACCCTCTACACTCCTGCTCATTGTAACGAGACCCCCTCGGAAAGCACAGTTCAATTATTTATCAGAGAAAATGACTGCAGCTCTAATGTCACTGGGGAACGGACTAGCTCTCTCTCCTCTAGCCCAGATCATTCTGTACCCTCTGAATTTAGGCGTTATCTCAATTTCTGATGGATGCCACACTGCCATGTTTGGATCGTTTATGGGGCTAATTGTTAAACACCGTAACTCCAAAACCACAACTAAGGTTACCTCTGAGGTTGAGATGAGGAAAAGGTGAAATATAAAGGATTAGATACACCTTGTAGAGAAATAACTCAAGAGACTATAGGAATTTCCCCGAATCCAATGAAAGAAACTTGGAAGCAAATACCAGATTAAGATTATAACTAAAAGGCCTACTGAAATAACTGCCATTATCAGCTTGGAGAAAACCGCGTTAACAAAAATGAAATGAATATCCATTGAAGGTAAGTCCAAAGAAGCCAATTTGGCAAAAAATTTCCAGCGCTGTCCTGGGAACAGGAGCCCTGGGCTGTGAATGTGGCACTTTTAGCAGCCCCATCCCGAGTGTGGACAGCACTGTCAGGCTGGCCTGGTTTGATGACACCAGCCACTAAGGTTCTCCAATTAACCACCCGATTCTGAATCCACATTCTGCAAGTAACTTTCTCCTAGTTTGGCCTCTGTAGGGACAAAATGTACTAATCAACAGACTCAAAAGTCTGATCATTTAAGCAAGTGAATGTTTCCATTTCATGGTGGCATTCTGATTATACTTTGGTTTCTCATGCAGAAGAATCCACAAGGAAAGAATGCCCTCATTAGGAAACAGGAAGACCTGGCTTCATTAGTAATTTTGTATTTCAATATAACTTAATATGTTGGCATATGGGGGTTTTATACATTAGTCTTTTTGAGACCCTGAGAAAGATTCACTCATTTCTGACAAACTAGGTTTCTGAGCCTAATTTGAAGGTGGTAACCCTCCGTGGCCTTTAATACCAACTTGGGTGACCAAACAATCATCCCTATTTTCTCTAGCCCTCCCTGCCCCTCCAAACAACTCTGCATTCACAGCATTCCCTATTCTTCAAACTGCAACCCTGGGCACACTGGAAAAGTCCCAGGAAACCCTTTGTAGTTATAAAATTGGGCTTTCCAAATAAGACTAATAAGGTACTTTAAAACCATGGCTTAGAGAGCCTGTCTGTATTCAGCCGAGGCTTAAGGCTAGAGGTAGAAAGGAGAAACATTTATTTTCCTCGCCGACTTTCATTCACAGACCAAACCCCACCTTACTCCCTCCTCACACCCCAACCTATCAGTTATGGGGGAAAGAGACAGGGAGAAATGAGAGGATGGAAAGAAGTGATAGTGAGTATTCCAAATCCATTTTCATTCCACTCAGAATAAGGATAGAGCCTTCCAAAAGGCACGAGGAATGTAATCCATGCTTCTTTATCCATCTCACCTTAAACTTTGATCTACTTAGGCCAAGCTTATATATCTGAACTAATCATCTTTCTCCCATCGACCCCCACAGGAAACTGGAAAGTAGCCTTCCTTGTTTATCTCTCTTACTTTAAAAGAGCAAGCATCTAACTGAACAGATCTAAGATTCAAGATATTTATTTCATATGATGGTGGATTCTGTAGTGTTAACACCCGCTGAAGAAACTAACCTTCTCTCCTCCCCCCCATTGTCTGCCTCTCCTCTTTATAGAGTATTTACAAATTACTTTTATCTCTTTTTTTTTTCTTTTGGCCAAGGGTCAGGATAATATGTGAACAAGCATTTGGTATCTAGAAAAACGCCCATGTCAGCTGCAGCACATTCCCAAGAATGACACAGAGGACAGTGGCATCTCTCAGTTGGCACGAGCTGTGTACCCAGAACCCTGCCCTGGGCATGGAGGAGTCCACGCTATCCGTTTGCCTCCTTTATGCCAAGTTGGCTAAGGTTTTTATGATGCATGCTCAATGCCTGCTAATCTTTTAGACATCAAAATTCACCTTTGGCCCTAGACCAGACATACCCAGGCACCGTGCACACTGTCTTTTAAGAAAGTGGGTGTATGCTTCTTTTCCAAGAATCTGACAGCTTCCTGTCCAATGCTTAGGGAGTAGTGACGTTCACATTTTCAGCTATGGCAATAAAACTCCAGGTGCTACACATCCCGGGTCCTATCAGTGATTGTTAATCTCCTGATACGAGGTTCCTGAACCTGTGTAGGGCCACTGAGGATTGGAGAGAGCAATGACCCTGTGCCCTGGACTTCAGTCATTCCCAAGTTCACAGGACAACAACCACATGGGTGGAGCATCCTCATCAGATGCAATCTAGGGAGTGTCAGACCCCAACAAATAAGGCAAGTGGAGTAGTACACGTAAACCGAGGCTAGCAGGAGGACCCCAGGGCCAGACAGTCTCTGCAAACAAATGTAGGCTGAAGGGGAAAAGGCCACACACCTCACAGACAAGTTCTAGGGCACCTCTAGGGACCACTGTAGGATATGGATCAGTACCAGCTTGGGCCCTCCATGAGATCTACTCTGAGATGGCCTTTGAGACCTAGGAATCCTGGAAAGCTAGGAGTCTGAACTACTCAAATAGAATCCCAGAAGGTCAAGAACAGAAAGTTCTCTGTGAAGGTTCCCATCTTTCTTTTCCAGAAACTCCATACAGAAGACGGGCCAAGAATAAGAAAATTCCACTCCCACCTTTAACTATAGAACATGTTGGTTTACCATAAGCTGTTGATCCCGGGCTCTTAACAGTACCCTCCCTCCTCCTTGCCCCCATCCAAACCTGGCATCACACTCCATGTGGTATATAACACATCTGAGGGGATAGCTGTTTCTACATCCTTTGTCATCAAACACTGGGCTTATTTTTGTACTTGTCCCCAGTGACATCAGTGTGTCCTTTGCTGTTTTCTTGGTGTCTAGGCCTGGCCGTTCCCCACGGCAGGAAGGCCACCCTACAGGCCCTTTCCTATGACTGCTGCTCTCAAGAGTCCCTGGCCTCAATGCCAAACACAAATATATCACATGAAAACTGGAAATTTCAGTATCTAACAATAAGGGAGCAGTTTAAAAAGATCACAGTACATTCATACAATGGAATACTACGCCGCCATTACAAATTTTTAAAAGTAGGAGACTACGTAGTGACAGGAAAAAGGTTCTCCATTTACTGAGTAAAATGAGCAATTTAATAATTAATATGATATGATCCAAAATTTGTCTGGAGAATGCATCTGGAGACTTTATATATGTGTGTATATGTAAGCATTGAAAAAAAAGAACTAGGAAAAAAAGACACATCAATGTTAACAGTCACTGCCTAGGGACAGGAGAATCATGGGTCATTATTTTCTTCTGTTTGTATGTACTTTCCAAAATTTCAACAGAAACTATTATTTTTGTAATCAGTAAAAACAATCAAAATTGGGCCGGCCGAGTGGCGCAATGGTTAAGAACTCGCTTGGGATGCCAGAGGGCCCCGGTTCGGATCCCACATATGAGGGTCAGTGACACTGCCCTCCACAGCTAAGATGCTGAACAACAGCTCAACCTGGAGCTGGGCTGCCATGAGTCGCCGGCGACGGCGTAGGCTGCACTCCCTGTGGCAGTGGGTTGCCATGGGCTACCGTGTGTAGCCAGCAGCCAGCGTGAGCGGCCAGCAGCCACAGTGAGCGGCCGTCCAGAAGCCGGCGACTGATCTGCCTCACCCGGGAAGAGCGCAATGATGGTGCCAACTTGGGCCAGTGAAGCAACATCCTCCACAACTAGATTGAAGAACAAAACGACAGCAACTTGTCTGTTCCCCTTCCCCCAATTTCCCAGCACTGTTCCCATCCCCCCAATTCCCCAATAAAAAAATCTTTAAAAAAAAACCAACAATCAAAATTATCATACTATCCCCAAATAAGAGGGGTTGGTTCTGTGCCATCTCAGCCCATCACTATTTGGTGGCTCCCACGCAGTTGGCTGCCGAACTGTACTAGACAACACTGACACTCACCATCAGCCTCAGCCTGAAAGGAGTCCCTAAACGCGTCCTTCCACTAGCTTAATCTGGAAAATAAGTGTGGGACACAAAACTCCAATTCACCCCCACCCCTGGGCTACTTGATCACACCCTCTGTCCATCTTGGGGCCTGAACTCCAGCTTCTAGCCACGTCTGCACTCACCAGTTCTGCAATAAGGGTAGGCATTCCATGCTTTCTCATGTATATTCAGGGCTCCCTCTGGGGCCAGCATTCGAACAAACGTGGGTACTTTGCTATAGTGAGAGAAAAGGATAATGAAGAGAAATGGAGGAGAGAATCAGAAGACAATAGGCTTTTACATCACATTCTTCAGGCCACAGCTCCAGCTTCTTCAACGGGGCGTTGACAAGTAAACTTCCATGAGATAAGTAGGTTACTCTTATGTGTTAGAAGCCACCTGTCAGAGCCTGATCCCCTTAACCCCCCGAGCTTGGCTGGCTACTAACATCCACCCACATCTAGCCCCACCACCCACCAGAAACAGGACAGTGGGTGAAACCCCAGGCTACCTGCCATGGCTTAGCAGCCATTACATTATCATTATGCTTTTCTCCAGAGCTCACCAGGCCCAGTGCATTATACTCTACAATGATGAGATACCAAGAATGGACCAGGCAGGTTTATGGACCAGAGTGAATAGGGACCTGAGATGATCTGATCTGCTGCTGTCAGTTCTGGAATGTCAGGAGGGCCTCAGGGCCATCTGCCTCCCAGGACAAAATATTTTCTTCTATTCAATTCTTATCTCAGGTTACAGAACAGCATGTTCAGTAAGAGCCCTTTTCTTCTTCTTCTTCTTTTTTTTTTTTTAGAGGTACATATATTCCTCTTCCTTAGTTTTTAACTGGTAATCTAAGTAGTCTTTAGCAGGCTCCAGCAATCTCATCAGCTTTAGTGCCTGAGGCCTAAGAAAAAAGAGTTAACCCCAGTAGAGAGCACTCAGGGTAGCCCTCTGAGATTCATTCACTCACTGCCACTCAGGTAGGTATTTCCATGTGCCAGGCACTGCGATACATACAGACACCACACAGACGTGCCTCATGCCCTCGTTACATTCTAGTGGGGAGTATAACCGACCAGGCAGAGGACAACACTGCACTGTATGTGCGTGCCATAATGGGCGAGCACAGGGCTCGGGAGGTAGAGCCCCAAGAACAGGGTGCAGAAGGCATGGTGCAGGGGGAGGTTCTTCAGGAGAATAAGGATTAAATGAGCACACAGAGTAGACAGTGAAGAGGACTGGGCTAGACAAAAAGATAGGAGTGTGGTGAGAAAAGACGGGAGAAGAGAGAGAAGTTCAGAGTAGCTAGTGTAAGGTATGAGGTGGGGAATACAAGAGAACCTGCAGAGGCTGGGTCATAAAAGATCCTGTAGGTTACGTCAAAGGGTGTGGACTTTATCCCAGAGGGCAAAGGGAAGCCTTCTATAGCTTGTAGGCTGGGAGCAACAGCTCTGTCTTCTGGACAGAACAGTCAAAGCTGTGCGGACAACTGGAAAGCACGAAGACCAGTTAGAAGCCACATTAGTAATCAAGGCAAGAGATGATGGAAGGAAATGGGAAGGTCAGAGGTACTACGAAGATGGAGTCAACAGAACTTGATTTGATATAAGGGATGAGGAAGAGGGTGGTGGTGAACCCGTGTTTCTGAATGGGGCAACTAGACGGCTGACAGGAAGGCTTTGGTCCTCATGGGGAGAGGTGGATGTGGCATTCAGCACATTTTTTTTTTTTTCCCCAGTTGGGTGTTTGGGGTTATACCCTCTCTAGGAAGGAAGAGGGTAAGACAGGCCCTACAGCCCTCCATAGATACAAACTTCTTCTGTGAAACTTCGGCTGGACCAGCTGAGTCCTGAGGAACCAACTGGCCCCTTCTACCAACCTCACTGTCCCTTTTCAAAATCCTCTTTAAAAAATACGAATGCAACTACAGGAAAGATATATCTCGAGCCTTATCATTATATTTAAATTTTTTTTTTAATTTATTTTTCAGCTGACATACATCTCGAGCCTTATTTTAATCAACCGTTAATGGCTCGGTAAGGACGGGTTGACAGTCAACTCAGGAGTAGGAATGGAGGATGATGAAGAGGAGACATGGAGGTAAAAGCACAGTGGCAAGGACATGGGATCAGGGTGAGTTTTCTCCCCCCACTTCACAGTGATGCTCTCTTCCTAGCTCCAGCACTCACAGAATCTTGCCCCGTCTGGGCTAGCACTCTTACCTCTCCAGAGCAGCTGACTACATTAAATAAGGGATTTTACCCAATTAAGATGAAATTGGTTTTAGTTCAGTTTGGTGACTAGAAATTAAGATTTAGGTTCAAGTTGCACAGTAATGTGGGATATACTTAATGCCACTGAACTATAGCCTTAAAAATGGTGAATTTTGTGTTATGAATATTTTACCACAATTTAAAAAAATATTCAGGTTTATTTTTTGCAGTTCTGGATAGTTTTTAAAACTAGCCTGGTTCAACCTCCATTCAAGCTGGTATATGTTTACTATTGCTTTCGACGGCCTTTGGGTCCGCTCAGAGTTTGCTGAAATACTACTGCTTTGGTTAGGGATTCAGCACATCTGTGTGGTTTGCTATGGATTTTGGTATACAAATCAGTTCCAATATTTAAATATTTATGTCTTTGATCCAAAGAGAGGTACCAAAATTTCTCTGGTAGCTGATTTTACAATATCAGAATTTAAAATACTACCTGACCCAGCAGTTCCACTTTTAGGAGAGTTTACTATAGATTTACATACAGAAGTACATCAAAAGATTTGCGCAGAAGGAGTTTTACTGGAGTACTGTATGTAAACATCTGGAAATGACTATTAACATCCCTTAAGAGAAGACTGGTGAAACAACTTACAGCACAGCTGTACAAAATAATAGTGTGTGTACTTCAAAAGAATGAGGCCAAATATGCTGACAGGGAAAGAAAAATATGATATGGTAAGTAACAAAGAGTAAAGTCAAGAACAGTATGTATCAGTATGATCCTATTTATGTAAGATAACAATAAAAGAAACGAACACCCATTTATACACATACACTCTCCCTCTCTTTCTCTCTCTCATCTATACTCACAGACAATGAGTACTGCTGTGGGAAGGGCCCACAAGAAACTAAACACTACCACCTCTGGGGACTGGGAGCCTGGTGGGGCAAGTATTACTTTTAAAAAATAAAAAACAAAACAAAAACCCTTTAAATAAACAAAGACGTACTACCACCTACACCCACTCTCACAGGTGAAGCAACCTGAACAACCAGCTAATAGCCTGGAAACACACCCCTCCATTATCCATTATCTCCACTTCAAAACCAGGCCTCCTTCCAACTCTGGGCCACCGCACGTACCTCTGTAAATGGTAGATCTTGTGTGTGTACTGGCCTTTTTCACCGTCCTTCTCATAGGGCTCGTTCACCAGGACTTCCACGCCTTCACCACCACCCGTTTCATTTTTGCTGGCCTCAGCCACAGAATACAGCTGGCCTACTTGATACTACAGTAACAGAGAGATGGGAGTTAATTGTCAACGCACAATCTTCTTGACAGTTATACATAGTCCAGTTGCCGGTAACTGTCCAATTAGATCACTCTGGGGTCCCATCATCCGAGAGCTCATTCTGAAGTTTCAAATGGGGCCTTACCCAAATCCGCCCAAAGCAACTGAGAACACTGCTCCATGGCCTCTCTTTAGCCATCAGAGGTGTTTAATTTCATCCTTCCCATTTTCACACCACCATCCATCCAGAAAACAGAGTACAGAGTCCAAGGTAGCTTTGTCCTGGACCTGCTTCTGCTATTAAGACCCCAAAACAAAGTCTGGGTTAACTGCTTGAAGTCTATGTATCCTATTCATTTAAACAGATCCTAAGACATGACTTCTTGTCAAAGAAAGTTACCCAGTGCTCTGTGAAATCCACCTGTGCTATAAAACTGGCTCATCTACTTGCTTTTTCTCCAATGTTGGGCCCCTCCCCACCCTGCCAGTAGCTCAGAAAACAGTCTTGCAGGCCACCACCAGACCTCCTGATGCTTTCCAGATTCCTGGCAGGGCTGAAGCAAGTGCCCTGCTTCCCATATTAGATAGCACAGATTCCTACCCCACGGTCTGTGCTGGCTGGGTACACCCTCTGTGTTGGCACTCACTAGATGGCAAAAGCCTAGTTTTCCTTTATTTGGGTCACATGCCACCCTATCAAGTCACCAGTCAAGATCACTGGCCTCCTCTGACCCCCTCAGGACAACTCAGTGTTAGGGCCAGTGACCTGGGCAGTGCTCTGGCCTGGCCCTTCTGTTTCCTTCTGTCTGAGGGAAGCTGCGTGGAGGGAAAATTAAGGTGAAAAGAGAACGAACAGGGACAGTTCATGCAGCAAGATACATCTATACCAAAGGATGCATCTTCCCTGTCTCTGCCAGCACCAATCAGGCACAACAATTTACAAAGTATGAGAAAAAGGTACTTGATTACCCAACATGTTGTGGGGAAAGATAAAGGCTTTTCTCGCCCTCTATGCCCCCTCTCCAAGCTCCTGGTACTCCCAGGAGTGAAATACGAGAGCATTTTGTTTCCCTTTGGGATTAAAACAGAGAGGCTGCCACTTAAACCACTGCCTGCAAAAGCAAGGAGCAGAGGGAGCTTCCAGGGCTGTTTCACCTCAAACTTGGAAGCCGACTCGACCAGGCAGCTTCCTAAGCACCACAGGGAAATTCTGGGCAAAGTCCAGAAGGCGAAGCAGCAGACCAGGACAATTCACTGTTCACCACGAAGCTGAAAGAGCCCTAACATCCAAAGCAAAATCCCAGCACAAAATGCCAAGGAAAGGCCCAGGCAAGCAACCAAGGCTCAGTTAATCCCATAAAGAGGAGCATCTGGGTGACAGCCAGTCATCTTGACCTTGCTAATCCAGAGCAACATAAGTGTTGTTTGCCTCAGTGCCCCCATGGAACCCCAAGCTGTCCCTGTGCCTTTCCAAGGCCTAGCTGAGGCACACATGAAAACCCCTACCAAGTGGGTCAGGGTTTGGCTGAGCCAGGGGTTCCTAAGAAGGAACAGTAATTCTGTTTCAAAGAAGTCATGAGAACATCTAACCCCTGACTCAGCAATCCTAAAGGGCAGGATGGGGAAAGAGCCTGGTGGCAGGCACTGCGTTGCTGCTGGTGGTGCTACTTGGGGAGGGGCTCCAGGAAAAGACTAATCCCCTTCATTGCTTCCTCTTCAGCTGCAGGAATCAGAGGGCAGGCTCTAAGGGGATCAGTCTGTTGGGCTGGCATCTTCCCCCTTTCATCTCTTTTGATAGTCTGATCCTTTAATCCCAATGAGACAAGTGAAGGCAGTTTTGTTAATCCAAAGGGGTAAATAAGTAAGACTGGCCTCCACAAGCTACAAGTGAGGGGCACTTCCCTTTGGCATTGTGGCTCCACACCCTGAGAAAGCAGAAAGCAGCCAGACCCAGGCGGGGTAGAGGTGAAGGTGAGACCATTACATTAGACAAAGAGCCCCTAGGAGACTGAGATCCAGGTGTCAGGCCTAGGACATTGCTCCCTGCCCTTGAGGTTTGTTTCCTTGTCCCAAAGAACTAATAATACACTCAGCTAAGGAAAACAGAGACTCCACCACTTTGGCAATCTGGGAGTGGGAGCCCAGGAAGATGTAGTGGGTGTGCCTGAAACATTGACATAAAACATGTCATGGGGGTGGCCGGTTAGCTCAGTTAGTTAGAACGCAGTGCACATAACACCAAGGTTGCTGGTTCAATTCCCGCATGGGCCACTGAGATGCACCCTCTACAACTAGAATGAAACAACTACTCAACTTGGAGCTGATAGGTGCTGGAAAAACACACTGTTCCCCAATAAAATTTTAAAAAAACAAGAAAGAAAAAAAAAACCTCATGTCATAAAAACCAGCAGAGCTGTTTGTCCCACCTCTTTGGCCCTGTACGGCCAGTTACCATAGGGGGATGGTGCCATGCAGCTCTGGAAATGAAAAGTAAAACAGCCCTGCCCACAGTAGAGGGAAGGCCAACTTGAGCCAGAAACCACTGTTGGACACACCCATGTGGAACCGCCAGGGCTTTCTTGCTCTGCTGCAGAATGCCTAGAAACCCTGAACATTAGGCCAAAGGCTCACTATTTCGGCTCCAAAATATTGATTCAGGCCATCAGGATGGTTATAAAGACATGTTCTCTCTCTTCTCTTTCTTCTCTTTCCCCCTAAATCAGAAAGCTCTGAGGGCCTCAAATTATGGCCGCCAAGTAGGAGGTGAATCCAACACAACACTGGGTTGTTCCCAAGGGAACCATGAGTCAGGATGGGGTTAATGATAAAAACTCTGAGAAGGTTGATCATTACTTGTTTCTTCATCAGCCTCCCATTCAAGATTTTCTTATCTTCTGGAACTAAGGTTCAAGCCATCAAAAGAGCAGTCCCTGCTTCAAACCTAGGCCATGCACTGCTTTCTCATCAGCAGTTTCCAGCTGAGAACAGGCTGACCATCACCGGGCAGACAGATGAATCCTAACCAGCACTTCCCCAGTCCCTGCTTACTTTTGGCTCTGCTCACCCCACCCCACCACTTCCTCAAAGCTGCAGAAAATAAAACCATCACAAGCTAAAAACCTTTCATCGCAGACACTCTGAAGGTGGGTTCCCCTTTCCCTCCATTCTCGGTCATAAGCAATCAGTGTTCTGGCCCCTCCAGCCTTACTGCAGAGCAGCCAGAAGGCAATCTGGACAGTGCGGGCCCTCCTGTGTCTGCCGCACTTCTCAGAGATATTTCCACCCTTCATTTTATCAAGAAACTCCCTGTGAAAAGACGCGTTTCACCCCTAAACGCCACACTGAGGTACTCCTGAGTTCCTGGGGACATCTTCCTGACTGGGAGTGGAGGGGATCATGCTGTACAGCAGAGAGGGAGTCACTGGACCCCCAAGAGCCGAGTTTCAGGGCGAGGGGCATGCTGGGCCCTCCTGCTTGGCCTCCTGGTTTAGAAAAACATCACTTGCTATTTTTCACAAAGATAGCAAGGTCCCCAAAGCAGGTGGGTTAACAGGGTTTCCCAAGCCAACATGTCAGCCCAAGCATATGGTTCCCAGGCCCCAGGTACATCTCAGGTGCCTCCAGGGATCGCAGCATCTGTCCACCAGCCCCCTTTCCCAGCTCCCCCAGTCTCACTTCTCTTAGCCTTCTTTCCCAGAATTCCCAGACCAAGTTCGAGGCCCACCTCTGGCTCCCTCCCTCAGGTGTCCACAGCTCTTATCAGATGTGTAGCCTACCCCTGGAGACAATCCTCTAGGAGACCAATGCCTGCCCACCCCTTTTGGCGGGTCAAGAAGCTTGGATAGTTGTCTCATCTAAAATATGCTACGGGCTCTGTCGGCCTGATTTCATTTTTCAAAGGTCCAGTTCATATTTGGAACAGATTGGAAGTTATCACAGGAACTTCATGCTGACACTGCAGGAAAGAGAATGACTGAGGGCACTATACTGGCTGACAAACTTCACCCAAACTTGAGCTTAAATGGAAGCTGGGAGGGGGGAGTGCCCTGTGGATTCAGAAGGAAGCAAAGAACAAGGCTGCGCCAGGAGAGGAAAGTGGAGGAAGTGCAGAGAAAGGGTGGGACAAGGGAGGCTCTGATAATTCTCTGCTGTCCAACAGACCGACTCTGAGTCAGCATGGCCTATGAACCTTCTTGTGGCAAATCCTGCCAGATCCCCATAGACAGGGACGTCAGGCCCAAGAACCATAAAAGGACAGAGGGCAAGCCAAGTCCATTTGTTATTTCATGCCCTCCGTAAAAGGAGGGCTCTGGGCCTTGGTCTTTCCAGCAGTCACCTAGAGTGTAGCTAGGGAGGGCTCCAGAGATTTCCTGCCCTGCTGGTTTATTGCACAACTGGAGAGAGCCATGCACACTTCCCAGTCGAGTCACGGAGGTCCCAGAAATGCACACACTCAGTCCCCTCAATAACATGTTCCCGAACAGGCACAGTCCCAGCAGGTAAAGGGGGCTAGTTTAGTTTCTATTTAGTCACCTAGTATGCCAACAGCTTGAGGCAGGTTGCACACAGTTGCCCAGACATACAAAAGAAATGCCTTCCTTCAACTGAAAGTGGTACCAGGAAAATTCACATCGAGTACTGATTATCTCTATGTTAGAACAATCATGAAAACCATATGAAGAGTTTGGGCCACTTGGAGCCCAACTTAGCTAACGGTCATGATCAATTATATACAACTATGGATAAAAATGAAGAAGGACTTACCTCATCTACAGACACAGGCAGGATGACTCGACTATAAGAGAGGGAAAATAGTATCAACTTCAGGCTCTGAAACCTGCCCAAGGCTCTTAAAGCATCCTCTTAGAATAGTATTAAACATTTTGTTGCATATGACACTATACTCACTGTCAGAAACCCAGCAGAGAGTGGCCCCCAATGCTTCAAGGCTTGGATGCTCTGTGCCCTTCTGGCATCCCATTCAGAGCCCTGTGATCGGTGCAAACCTATCCCCCAACCAGCTACTTCCCAGGCCTCTGACTCACATTTGGGACTGTCTTCTCCCTCTCTTCCACTAATATCTTCCTCAATAAAACTTGCCAATGAGTAAAACAGAGAGGTTAACACAGGAGGACCCACCCCTGCAAACACTGAAGCCAAGAGGAGGGAGGATTCACACCTGAAGAATCAGGCCCTGGGGATTTACATCTCTGTGGATCCAACTTCCCAACAATAGCCCTCAAGGTGAAAGGCTAGGAAGGGGCCAAGCTCCATGGGGGCTTAATTACTCTAAGAACATGCACCAACCATCTCGGTTCTGAGACAGGATATTACAATACAATCTACTACCACAAAGCCACCAAGAGAGGACACCCAACTTGTGTCCTGACCTCCAGAAGCTGTCCATAGGCACCTCAACTGATCATTCACCACACTGGTTGGAACTCCTCAAAGGTGCAAGGGCTAGCAACACTCCTCCAGGTGGTTTGCATTTGTAATGCAGAGCAACAGCCAACCCCCAGTTTAAAGCTTTGAGGTCAGAGGGCTGAGACAAAAAACGCTGTCATACAAATCAAGCCAGCCCCCAAGTGGGGATGGTCAGTTTCCACATCCTAGCTGGAACCCCCTGGAGCCTCCTGTATCTTGTGTGCTTGGTGCAGCATGAGCTGCTATGCTCTCTGTCCTGTGCAGTGGTTCCGCTAATCAGAATCCTTGCTCCAGGCTGGTAAATAGCCCGCTCACTATTTTCTAGTTCCACAAAGGTCCCCAGGTAAAAAGAAGCACACTGAGGGGTCTGAGAAAAACATCACACTACGGGCAAAGCACTGGGCAGAAAAGTAGCAGGAAAAACAAAATGGGCTTCAGGTCTTTACTGCCTACTAACACCCCTCTTCCAGAATGACTCAAATAACGTAAATCCTGCAGGTTATCGGATGCTGCCACTAATGCTCTCCTCCCATTAGAGAAAGCCGGCAATGCAGAAAAACGCTCCAACTTGGAGTCCACAATTTCTGCACCCTCAGTAGAAACTTCCTAGAAAACAATCCGCCTTTTATCTTCAAGAACAGCAGCAAAAATCATACCCAAGAATTTGCAGAAATCAAATCAAGGAGAATCCTGTTAGAGGAAGTGTCAGAAAAATCAACAGGGACAACCTCCAAACCCTGGGTGGGCATCAAGTCTCCTCCTTGAAAGGGACTGGCATTAGCCAGTTCCTGGCAGGATGCTCTGGGCCGCTTACATTACAGCTGCACACCCGGACATCTCTCCCTGACTCCTTGGAAGCAAAACCACTCCAGTAGCACTAGGGTGCAATTCCAAAGGATAGGGCCACAGAGGCAGTGCTGGGCTGAGACTGGAGCTGTGCTTACTTCAGTGTGACCTTCACTCACACCCTTCCCAGAGCTGCAACGCTGCAGCCACAGCCAAATGTCTCATGCCCCCCTCCGTGTCCCTTGCCTAGGGATGCACACACGTTCCTGAACACACACAGGGCACAAGTCAGGCAGGAAGGAAGCGCAGATGACAGGCAGGCTCTGCACCTTGGACCTTTCCCTGGCTGGCTTCAAGGGGAGGAGAACAAAGAATGGGAAGGGCAGACCTCTTCAAAACTCACTCAGATCTCTTCTGAAGGTCCCTCCCCTTCCCTGCCTGATTGTCTTTACAAAACTACAGGTTTCTACAGATTCTAGGATTCATCTGGGGATAGAAAAAAGGATCAGGAGAATGGGAAAAGCCTGTCATCTGAACAGTCAAGATTAGAACCCAAAGCACACCATGCTCTCCCCCTGTTGGCATCCCAAGATTTTTCCTCCTCACTACATAAAGCTCCGAGCCTGGCTGAATCAGTTTCAGACTGGAGGTCAAGAAATAAAAGAAGGGCTTCGAAATAATGCTCTTCAAATGAGGTGTCAAGCTGGGATGACACCTGAATTTCTGCTCCTCCCTTTGTTATCCAAAGCTCCACACTAAGTCTTAAATGTCCTAAACATCTCCAAGAAGCAAGTCAGATGCGATGGAGCAAAGCGCCTTCACTGACAAAATGGAAACAGCCCTCCGCACACCTGCCTGGCTGCTAACTGAGTTCCACCAGTTGCTCTCGACTTGGACATCTCCCACTTTCAGAATTCCTGGATTTCTGGAATGCTGCCCACCTGCCTTCCCCTCCAGGGAAGCACAATTTTACTATAAATTCCACACACATAAATCCAATCTCTCCTCTTTGGAAGGACAAGTCCTGAGATGTTTCCTTGGAACCATGAGCTTCAGGGATGGGTCATCTCACATTTGAAAGATTTAGCCATCCAAACATCCTCACCTGTCATCCATCCAATCCCCTGGGCTGCAGGAGCAAGTCCATCCCTGCACCTCCTCCCACACATCACTAGTTGCCCACTTGAGTCACACCACTCAAGCACTTCCTCATCTTTCACTGTCTTTTCTCAATTAATGGCTTTATGGCAACCTCCGCAATTCCTCAAAGCAATTCCCCATCTCTCTGCACCAAGACTGAGAATTCCCTAGGCTGCCCCTGCCTCCCACTGCCACTCCAGTTAATTCTTATATTTATTCACATTCTCTTTCCAAACTGTCTTCTACCCTGTTAACATCCTACCCTTTTCCATCACCATCACTCCTCCATATCACTTCAGCCCCTCCCCAATATTTTCTGGGCTCCTCACCCAAGTGTCTCCGAGTTCCAAGCAATCATCTTAAGTAAGCATTGTTTTCGCAATATCTTCTCTTCTGTACCTGCCACTTGGGCATCATGTCATGCCACCAGTCCCCTCTGCTATCTCCTTAGATCCTTCCCCTGTCACCCAAGCCTGGCCTTGACTCCCTGGTCCTTTTCCTGTGTCCACTTATGACAGTCCTTCCCCTGATGCCTAAGGCAGCCACTTATTCCCCAGGTTGCCCTCAGCGCTCCTCCCCATCATCTCAGCTCCATTCCTGAAGGGGTCTTACCTGATCTTCCGAGCCCCTTAGTATCTGTGCAGCCCCCAAGCCCCTCCCCAGCCCTGGCTAGCTCACCCACCCTGCCTGCCCTTGTCTAACTGTTCCTCAGCCCCTCAGACAACTCCTCCCTCTTCCGCAGGTCCTCTCGCCACTCCTGCAGTTCTGGCTGGTCCCTACGTCCCTCGGCCCCCACTAAAGAACCAGCCCACATCTCAGCCAGTGCTCTGGATCCCTTCAGCCCCTCCTCGTGCCTTGTCCGGCTCTTACTGTCCCCCTGACCCCTTCTCAGGCCCCGTCGGGCTCTCATTGTCCCCTCGGCCTCTCCTCAGGCCTATTCGGCCCTCACTGCCCCTTGGGCCCCACCTCAGGTGCTGCCTGTCCCTCTCTATTCCCGTTGGTTCCACCTCAGCCCCTGCTGGGCCGCCTTACAGCCCATCCAGCGCTCTCCATCCCCTCGGGCCCCGTCCGGCCGCTGCGTCCCCTCCGCCAGGCCATCAGCCTCCCTGGTCGTCATCCCCGACTCTGCCTTCCTCCTCGCTTCCGCGCGGCCGGCCGGACACTCACTACTCCTTGAGCAGCACCATGTCGCTTCGCGGCTCGGCGGCTGCCTGCTGCCCGCCCGGCTTCCCGCCCGTTTCCCGGCGGCCGCTCTCCCCGTGGCCTGGCCCGGCCCGGCCGCCTGTGCGCCTTCGTCGTGGTCTGCTCCGTCCCCGCCGCTCTCGCTGCGGTCGCCGCGCCGGGTCCTATGTCCCGGCCTCACCGACTCCCGCGCCTCTGCCGACGCCGCCCGGAGCTCCGGTTCCGCAGCGCCGCGCGGGGGCGGGGCGTCTCTGCGGCAACCAGAGCGTCACACGCAGCGGTACGCGCTGACCTAAGCGCGGAGGCGGAGCCTTCTCTGGGCCCATCCCCTCCTGTCCCTAAATGGGCAGCGGCGTTGGCGTCGGCATCCGAGATGGGCTCTGGGCGTGCACAAGACCCACGCAGTAGGCGGAGCAGGCGATGAGGTGTCAGGCAGGGTCCTAGGTGTGACTGTTCTGCAGCTGGAGCAGATGCACCTGTATGCTTGGGCCTCCCTAGAGGGGTGGGTTGAGATCTAGGGAAAGCTTGTGTCAAAAAGTATTAACATGGGCGGGCCGAGTGGCTCAGTTGGTTAAGAGCTCACTCAAGAGTTTGAGCTCTGAGCAACAGCGGTTCGAGTCCAGCCCGAGCTGAGCAGCCGCTGAGCTGCCAACAGGTAGCAGGATGGCTCAGCTTAAAAAAAAAAAGTATTAACAATAGCCAAATTTACGTGCAAGTGCCCTTCTAAGTGCTTGATTCCTCAGGACAACACTACCAGAAAGGTACTATTACTGTCCCCGTTTACAGGTGAGGAGAAGGAGGCAGAGGTTAGGAGATTTGTTCAAGTCCAATGCTAGCATGTGATGGGGCCGATTTTCACCAGGCAGTTTTAGCGTAATGTCATTCATCCAATTAATATTTGCTAAGTGCTTGCTGTATACCAAAACTGTGCTTTTGTTGAGAAAGTGAACAAGGCAGAGACCATCTAGCCCTTAGGGAACTTAGGGTCAAGTGGTGGTGGTGGTGGTGGTGGTGGTGGTGGTAGGTGGGTGAGTGAAGGAGACAGAGGCAGGCCATTAGAATTGAAAGGGCTGTGAGAGGTGAAACACAGGATTGTTGAGATTACACCAGGAGGAGGTTCTAAACTGAGATCTGCAGGGGGCTGAGAGGGGAAGGCTTTACCAGGCACAGTGAATGCAAAGGTGCATTTGGGGAACTGAAAGAAGTGACTGGGGCATGAAATTTGGGAGCTAAGGAGCTATAGGAGGGCTGGGTTGGGGCCAGATAATGCAATTCCTGGTGGGTGATAAGGTGTTTGCAGTCCATCTTAAGAGTACACGTGGGCACTTAAGGGTTTTAAGTAGGGTTGGTGTTTGAAGGCTCACTCTGACATCTGGGTGGAGAGGGGATGAAAGGGACCAGAGCAGAGGCAAGGAGGCCAGTTAGGAGGCCTCTGCAGAAATCCAGGCAAAGATGGACTAGGACAATGGTGAGAAGGGGGCGGGGGAGGATGGATTCAGCAGCCACTCACTAGGTAAAATCAGCAAGACTTGTTGACTAATTGGCTGAGGGAGTAAGAGGGAGGAGGGGAGAAAGCCACCCAGGTTTCTGGCTGGGGAGCCTGGGTGGACAGTGCTGCCTTCAGGAGAACACAGGACAGGCATATATGCACAGGGGAAGATAATGATTCCAGTGTTGGACTTGAGGAGCACGCAGATGATGGTTAGGGGACTGCCCAAGATAGGGATTTAGGAAGGGGGTGTAGAGCAGGTGGCTGTATTGCTATCATGCCATGACTAGTGTTCCAGGACAGCCCTGAGTATTACACGTGTTGGCCACTCATTCATTAAATCCTAGAGTAGGAGCAGGGATTGCCCCAGAGATCTATGCCTAGGCCCTGCGAGAGAATGTCAAGAGAAGAGATATTATGACCCAAAGTCCAAGATTAAGTGAGTGGCCTGGACCCTGGTCCCCTGACCCCTCTCCCCCACCCAGTGTAGGGTTTCTTTTCTCCGACATAATATCGATGAATAGTTATTTACCAATGACTCTGTGCTGGCTTTCTCCAGGAAATAACTAAACCCTGCCGTCTAGGAGCTTGCAGTCTATTTGGGAAAACTACATTTACTCTTTCAATAAATATTGATTGAGCTCCTGGCCCTGTCCTAGGCCATTTTCTAGGCACTCAGGATACAGGGGTGACCAAGAAAACTAACGTCCTTCCCTTGCTCAGCGTGGGGAAGCAGAATATAAACAAATACAGAATTGACTTCAAGTCGTGGTCACTATTATATTATGAAGAGGCTGAACAGAGTGACTTTGGACAGCGGTGGGCGGAATCAGCTGCGTGGTCAGGAAAGACTCTTAGAGGAAATGATGCTTAGACAGAGACCTGAATGACCAGAGGAATTGCTAAGCTGGCTTAGTTCATAAGAGTTGAAACAGGGAGTTTGGAGGACCGTGTTGGGCACCTGGGGAAACATAAAGCAAAACAACAATCAAAATACCTGAGAATCAGCCTCTGCTCTGAAAGCACTCATGGAGAGCAGACCTTGCACTTGCAGAAAATTCTGGTAGCTTGCAATAAAGGTGAACGTGTGTGACACAAAGAACAGTGCTGGGGGGAAATCTGAGGGCAGGTGTCCTAGGCTGGAGAGATGTAGGGAGCATCCAGGACAAGGGGGATTTGAGCCAGATTTGGCTAGAAAGAGAGAACAGCACCTTGAGAGGGAAACTAGCGTATGCAAAGGTGCAGAGGCAGGATTCTAGAGGATAGAATTTGGGGGGTGGAGAGGCCAGAGTAGATTGTCTGGTTACAGCGTGAATGGTTCATATTGTGGGCGCACACACAGGAGGGACTGAGGGTGGGGTCCTGAGTGCCAAGCTAGAGAACTGTACCTCTGTTCAATGGGTGGGGGACAGCCACTTGAGGGCCTAAAGGAGCTCCTATTTCTCATCACCCAGATTCAAGTATTACTGAGATTTTGCTACTCTTGCTTCATCTCTTTTCTGAAACATTTTTATTTTTTTATTTGTCTATTATAGTGGACATTCAATATTATATTAGATTCAGGTGTACAGCATAGTGGTTAGACATTTATATAACTTACGAAGTGATTCCCCCCATAAGTCTAATGTATCCACGTGACACCATACATACTCATACATCATGTCATCTTACTGCTCCATGTTTCAGTGAGCATTCTAGAAATATGGATGTTTTCTCACAAATCCACAATGCTAATATCATTCTTATCAAAATTCATAATTTCTTGATATTATTTCATGCCCTGTTCATATTCAGATTTCTCTAATCATCTAAAATATTATTTTATAGTTTCTTTTAGGTAAATTTAGTATCTGAACAAGGTCGCATTTTTTTTTCCTTCACATTTTATTTTTAGTTCTGTTTCTTACATTTTACTCTAGCAAGCTTTGCTTCCGGTGTGCATAGGAATGAGCCCTTACATGCAGGGGCCACAGCACTCTCCAACTTTGCCTCACTGAGCCTCACTGTGTGAACAGACCCCCTAGTGCCTGATGCCCTGGAGTCCCAGCCTTACCACTTGCTACCTGTGTGACCTTGTGCGAGTTACTTAACCTCTCTGTGTCTCAGCTTTTTCATTTGTAAAGTGGGGCAATGATAGTTCCTGCCCAGTGGGATTGCTGGGAATCAGTGATAGTGCTGGCTTCAAGGAAATGTACATAAAGAAATTTTGTGTAATATATGGCACATTTACATATTATTGTTGGGAGGCAGGGACATTATGAGGAAGGAGGGATGGACACTACTGCCCCTCAAAACTACTTCTAAATGCTCCAGGCTTAAGAGAAGAGAAAGGAGTGAATCTCCAGTGTCATAGTGATCTTTCTGTCACTCATGTCTCCCTTTCTTTGTCTCTCTCCTTCTCTCCATCGGTTGGTTCCTCTCTATCTTCTCTCCATCTCTCTAGCTCCCTCTCTGGCTCTCTTTCTCTATCTCTCTGTCTTTCTGTCTCTCCCTTCTATCTCTTTATCTCGCCTCTCTGTCTGTCTCTTTCATTTTCTCTGTATCTCTCTGTCTTTAATCTCTCTGTTATCTCTCCTCTCTGTTTCTCTGTATTTCCCCCTCTTTACCCCTCTTTCTGTCTCTCCTTTTTGGCCCTCTCTCTCCCCATCCTCGTAGTCAGTCTGTGTCACCCTACTCTGGGTAATGCACCTTCAGTTTGCGTTTCTTTCTTCTTCTCTTTGAAGCTGTCCCCTTTTCCCCTGTCTGCTCTCAGTCCTCTCTCTCTCCCTCCCTCCCTCCTTCGTCTTGGTGTCTGTGCATCTCTCGGTTCTGGCCCCCACATTGTTTCTCCTGGCTGGCTGGCCCTTGTTACTGCCTCGGTCACACAGCCACACCTGTAACCCATCTCTGGGTATCTCGGGGAGACTGTGTTTCAGTTTCCATCTTCTGCTCTGTCCCTTCCTGGCTGGTGACAGCATGCTCTTCTCCCAGTTTCTGTATCAGTCTGTTTCAGCCTCCTTTCTTTTTATTTGTCTCTCTCTTTAAAAATTTCATCCTCCAAATATTTATTGAGCAGCTGTTCCATGCCATGCACCATTTGAGGCACTGGAGGGATCACGGTGACTAAGGTGGAACATGTGCCAGCTCTCAAGGAGCATTCGTTCTAGTGGGAAGACAGACAATAGACAAAAGAAGAGACAAACATGTGACCCTGGCTGCCCGGCTCGTCCCACGGGGCAGAGGAGAGTGTTGGTCAGGCCAAGCCATAGGCACGGACTCAGGCCCATGAGGGCGAGCTGGCTCTGCCCAGAGCTTTGCCTGATAATTCCTTGTCCCTAAATAGGGACTGTGGGCCACTCTAGAAGCCAGACTCAATAACATTCATTATGCACCAGGCCGGGGGAGACACAGGTAAAAAGAAAAAGGTTCCAGCCCATGTAGAGTCACAATCTAACGCAAGGAAAATATGACATCTGCTGGAGTCAAGCAAATAGACAGTGGGTGCTTTGGGTGCCCAAAGAGGTGAGGAGGCACTTCACCTCCTTTCTCTCCCGACCTTTGACAACGTTTGGCCTACATAGGGCTTAAAGCTATTTGAGCAGCTGTGTTATTTTAAAAACATTTTTTGAACCAACATTTGAAAATGGGGATATTTTATATAAAACTCAGGATTTCCAGCTTCTCTTGAAAAAAGTCAGAAGATCTGGCAACACTGGGCTCTTTCCCACATGGCCATAATTGGTTGAAGCTGTGTTAAGACTGCCCCGAGATGGGGGCTGCAGCCTCCAGGTCCCCACGGTTCCCACCAAGTCCTTATGTGTCCCTGGCACAGAGGTCAAGGTCTAGCTGCCCCTGTAGTATCAGTGAGCTTATGCTGTGGCTCTCCTTATATTAGAGAAATATTCTCCGTGCTGTTTCTATCAAACAAAGGGAAATGAAAGTAACAACAAAGGAAGTGATAGAGCCCCAGCTTTTGAGTTTGTGGTCCTGACAAGTAGGACATCCATCTAGCATCTCTCTGCCCTGGCTACTGTGTGGAGAAATGGGGGAAGGGGGCAGCACCGCTCATCCCTTCCCCATCTGGTGCCCAGGGCCATCCATCTCTCTCCCCTGGGCCTCAAGCCTCCTCCACCCCAGCAGGGTCAGGGGCCTCAAGGCAATCAGGCGGCCCTCTCCCCTCGGTGGTGGTGGCGCTCTCCCTGGGGCTTCTCTGGTGTGTGTGTGTGTGTGTGTGTGTGTGTGTGTGTGTGTGTGTGTGCGCGCGTGCAGGGGGGGCAGTTGCTCTCTCTCTCCTGCTGCCACTGCCCAGGGCCCCTGGCAGGAGGGTGGCCAGCTTGGTTGGAAATCTGTAGGAGGAACAGTCATGCCCATGACCACTGCCTTGAGACAAAAGAAAAGGGGCAAGGATGAGCTCCCTCCCTTAGAACCAGAATTCATTGGCAGCCCTGTCTGCCGAGCCAAGAAGCCCCTTACTCTCTCCCTTCCTCACCTCTTCAAATGGCAGTGCAGAGGCCAAACCAGCAAAGCTAAGCCATGGCAGATACCGTACGGGGAGGGGTGGCGGCCAGAGAGCACGTTTTGGACAAGTAACAGGGAATCTGGGCAAGGGACAAGGAGCAAGGGGATGTGTGACACAAGGACAGGAGCTGAGGAGGAAACAGTTCTTGTCATTCTCAGCATACGTTTATTGAGTGCTTACTGGGTGCCAGGAAGTAAGCCAGATGCCAGAAAGAGCAAGAAGGCAGGAAGAGTCAGGGCCAGCCACCAGGTCATCAGTGACACTGTCTGACCCTGGTTAACACAGGCAAAACTTTGGGGGCCTGGGCTGGGTCCTTGGGCAGGGCTTGCCTAGGCCTTTCCAGCAACAGAAAGGGAGTCAGTGAGGAAAGACCCTCTCCCTCTTCTCCATCCAGGTAAAGAGGCACACAGACAAGCCCTTACGCACTCCTCTAAACATGTTAACACCTGACACGCCTGAAATACATCTCACACCTCAACACATGCACACACGTACACACACACACACACACACACACACACACACACACGAACACACAGGCACGGCCAAGCAGTTTTATAAGGAGGTGGTGTGGAGCCGCTACCTACATGCCATGATCTGAGTCACCCTCCTCAACATAAATCTGTCAGAGTGCCTGAAGATCCACTATTTGGAGATTATTTTAAGAATCTTTTTGGCCAAGTGTGTTATCAAAATGTGAAAGACATGAAAGTGAACAAGGGGACTTCTTAAGGCTTTTGCTAAGAGGGGTAGGGTCAGCAAGAAACAAACCTCACTTCCTTTACTTGACCACGAAGTCAGAGCTGCTTATTATACAAGTGGGGATAGAGAGGTGGGGGTGGCCCTCGTTCCCTGTGCTATCTGCACTCCTCTAGGGTCATACAAATAACGGTGTCACTTGTTAAGTGCCTATTAAGAGCTAGGTACGCTACTGTGCAAATGCATTATATCTGTGTTCGGGGAGCCTCACAATGAGAGCATTATCTCCACTTTACAGATAAGGAAACTGAGGCTCAAGACTTGCCTAAGGTCAGGGCAGTATGTGGGGTGAGGCCTCTAACCTCTGCTGTTCCCCTTGGCCCAAGGAGATGGAGCCTCACTCTGGGAAGGACCGATCAGGGACTGGGAGCTGCTAGGGGCCGCCAGTGCAGTCTCAGATCGGCCCACGGGGCTGAGAATGACTCACTTCAGAGCTGTGCAGAGCAAGGGACATGAACGGTGGCGCCATACTGGCAGGCTACACCTGTGGAGGATGCTGCTTCTCCTTCATGACTCTCAGGAAGCTCCGTCCTCACCCCAGGGCTTGGATAGTGAGGCAGGACATGGGCCTGCTCTGCCTGCAGAGCCCGCCTGCTCACTCTGACGACCTCCCTCTCCGGGGACAGGCCACAGCTTGTGGAAAACCAACCCCTCACTCCTGGGCTCCTCATAACCCCACTATCTATATTTGGGGAAAATGGGCTACTACCCTTGAATTGGGCCCCTGGTAATTAGACCAGATGAGGCGCCTCACTACAAGAGCCATCATATTATTCTCCAGAGGGCGGAAGCTGTTACTAAAACAGCCCCTTGAAGCTTGATCCTGTTGAGAAGACTTCTCAGAGCTCTCACAGGCGCCCCTCACCACAAGATGCCCACAGCCTGACCCCACCTCCCATCACCCACCCTATCTGCTCAAATTCATACAGGCTGACATGCAAGTGCATCAAAAACTCCACTGGGGGGCCGGCCGAGTGGCGCGATGGTTAAGAACTGGCTTGGGATGCCAGAGGACCCCAGTTCGGATCCCACATATGAGGGCCAGTGACACTGCCCTCCACAGCTAAGATGCTGAACAACAGCTCAACCTGGAGCTGGACTGCCTGAGTCGCTGGCTACAGCTTAGGCTGCAGCCCCTGCTGCAGTGGGTTGCCATGGGCTACCGTATGTAGCCAGCAGCCAGCGTGAGCGGCCAGCAGCCGCAGTGAGCGGCCGTCCAGAAGCCGGCGACTGATCTGCCTCGCCTGGGAAGAGCGCAATGATGGTGCCAACTTGGGCCAGTGAATGAAGCAACGTCCTCCACAACTAGACTGAAGAACAAAACGACAGCAACTTGTCTGTTCCCCTTGCCCCAATTCCCCAGCACTGTTCCCATCCCCCCAATTCCCCAATAAAAATCTTTAAAAAAAAATGCAGCTATCTGCAAGAAAACATTGTTGTAAAAAAACCACAAAAAAACAAAAAAACTCCACTGGGCTGAATGTGTTTGTGCTGCTGTCTGGGACAATCCTGCACATGTACCCCAAATACTGGATGTTCCCCCATTTTCAGTGTTCTTGGGGTCCAGGGCAGTGTGAGGCACTCCTCAGACTGCACAGCCCAGGGCCAGGATGAGGAGGGCTCGAGTAGAAGTTCTTTGGACCAGGCTGATACTAGGTATGAGAGAGGAAAGGAGACGGAGCAAAACAGAAAAGCACGCACAAGAGCCTGCAACCTTATCTGTGGCTTTTAGGAATTAGAACCTTCCCTAGTACTGGCCCAGGCAGCAGGAGCTGCAAGCAGAGGCCAGGAGGGTCTAGAGGAAGCCAACAAAGGACCACCTAGACCTGAGTCCAGACTAGTGAGGAGAGGGGCTCCTGGCAATTCTCATGAGACTGGCTTAGCCCCACTTCTTCACTCTGATTGAAACCACCTGCTCTTTCCCACCAGGACCCTGGAGGACAAGGAGGAAGATGGAGAGCCATGGCCACTTGGTGCCCGCGGTTCCTTTCTCATTCCAGGGCACTCCTCTCAGGGGTTAGGGTGGCCAGAGAACTGCTTCCCCAAGAACCTATCAGCCTTCAGGGCTAAGACGACTTTACTAAGTGGAGATCATCTCCTTCTCCAAGGAATCTCTTGGCTCCAATTAAGTGGTGCCTGGGTTTGCATCCCTTCCTCAGGCTGCTGCTGTCTTTCTGCTCCCAAAGTCTGGTGGCCCCTGGGGCTACTGATCCGAAAGGAATGTCCTCATCTAGAGGGCTTTCTTTGGTTACTCCAGTGATGTTAAGACCCATATACAAGTCCTGGCTTTAATCTTGAGCGAATGACTCCACCTCTCTGGGCCTCAATTTTTTCCCAACTGTGAAACAGAAATGATAGTATCTATTTAACTTTTGGATTTGTTATCATGATCCAATGATGATAATAGGAAAATATGTAACCTATCAACTCTGTACGTCAGAGCAGAATGACTGGCCCCTGACAAGGGGGTGGGGGTGCAGTAGGTAGCCGACCTACCTGGTACCCTGCTCCCATTTTCATGAGTCTAATCCCCACACACTGTTGGCCCTAGACTGATTTCCAACCTGAACTCGTTTCTTGAAAAAACTTTTTTTTGTTTTTAGCTGAGCCATCCTGCCACCTGTTGGCAGCTCAGCGAGCTAAGGGGCTGGGACTTGAACCGCTGTTGCTCAGAGCTCGCACTTTTGAATGAACTCTTAACCAACTGAGCCACTCGGCCAACCCTTGAACTTGTTTCTCAATGCCTGCTTCTTTCCACAAAGTTCCCATACCCTGCAGGTAGGTAGGTAGGAGACAGCAGCTTCTACTTCGGCTAGGGGCGGGGCCTGGGCACTGCGGCAGGATAGCACAGGCCATGTCTGTAACCTCAGTGTTTTCCCAGCTGGAAGGGCCCCTGCTAATCAACATTTCCACAAACTGTGCTTCTTTGTCAGTGGGTCTCAAACTTTGGGCGGGGTGGAGAGGTGGGAGGAGACACACCAGAATCACCAGGTGGGGCTCAACAACATATAGGCTGCAGGTTCCCTCTACATCCAAGTTAATACCTGGAGTCTACAAGTTTAACAAGCACCGAGGAGCTCCTGCGGCGGGTGGTCATTGGGCCACACAGGGATGAGGGTTCTGATTGTTAAAACCATTCCTCCGCAGGGTACCACACCCCATCTTGGAGAGCCACAAAGCCCAGGAGTATGCCAAAAAGTGCTGCAAGTGCTTGCTGCCAAGAAACATGCTTGACTTTAACTCAACATTTCCAAAATATGCCTACAAAACTTTTTTAAATTAGAATACCCATTAACATCTCACATAACTAGTGTTCTGAGGAATGGTTTGGGAAATGTTGATCTCATTCTCTCCTTTTTGAAAAATGTTTTAAACAAATAGTTTTTTGTTTTTTTATTATTTGAATGGACTGAAGCCTAGGAAGATTAGGTATGTTCAAGTTGCTCAATTACTGACACAGAACTCGAATTTGGGCCTGGGTCTGTCCCTTCCTGTTCTCTGTCCATTCCCCACCACATTCTACCTCTTGTCTCTTTGAGCCTGAGGCTCTCCAGGGGTCAAACCATGTCTTGAACTCAGGAGGAACACCCAGGATAGTTGACCAGGGACAGGAAATCTGAGTCAGGGATGAAAGTGGGTCAGGGTTAGCCTGTTTGGCTGGGAAAAGCAGCAGAGGAAGCGGTGGCCCACCTTTCTAAAGAAGATGTCTACACAAGCCTAATTTGTTTGGGGATGGGTTGGGAGAGTAAGGTCTTCTCCTATCCCACTGGTCCCTTCCAAGATGGCAATCATCCAGAGAGACTGTGAGCAGCTGGGTACGACTGAAGTTGGTCAGAGGCAGAAAATCTTGTCTTGCTTTTTCTCAAGCTCAAAACAGGTACATGTAGCCCTTAATTGATATGCTAGTAGGGACAATCCTTACCAGGAGGAAAATGGATTTATTGCTTTATAAAAAGGAGTCTGATAAAACTTAAAAGAAAAAAAAACAAAACAAACCTATAAGCCTAAAAATCCACCCACCCCTCAGTGCTCCCAGGAAGTTCCAGACACATTTCTCAGGGCAGTTCTGGTGAATTTGGTAAACCAGGCCTGCCTGGCAAAGGAAGGGGGCAGCCTCTCTCAGTAAACAGCTTCAGGGCCCTGGAGGAGTCTACCAGCAGGGGGCACTGTGGCATCACAGCCTCAGACAAGCTCCAGAACGAGCCAGGTTGGCTCTAGGGTGCTGAACCCGGGGCAGGCCAGACTAGCTCCTGGGTGGCTCTGGGAGAATAAGAGCCGATACTCAGAGCCCACCCCCCACCCCCACCCCCACACACATCTCCCACACATATTGTATGTACACACCCACACATACACACACCCCTAGGCCCCTCACATTCTACCTCCCCACCCAGGCCTGGACCTCTGTGTCTGTCAGCCACAGCCTCACTTCAACCCCCACAAAAACAGCTGTGTGTGTGTGTATGTAAGGGGGGTTCCTGTTGGTGCCCCTTAAATTCCCTTCAGGTCGCAGACTGGGTGAAGAGTGGGAGTGGAAACTTACTCCCCTGTTAGGCCCTGAGGGAGGAGGTGAGGGACTGATCAGCTTTGTCCATGGCTCCCGAGCCTCCTGTGACCGTCCGGCCCTCCATCCACTCCCCAGGCTTTAAGCCAGGGGGGCTTCTCCACAGGCCTCTACTGGGAGGACAGGTTGTGGACAGGCCACAGGGGGCAGGAATTACAAAGGAGTTAGCACCAACAACAGGAAGCGGGTCCTTCCTTCCTCAGGCAGCTTCAGACTGGCCAGGGGAGGAGGTGAGGGGCCAGGCGAGGGGGATGCAGACAGTGCAAGCCTTTGTCCTCAGGCAGGCGTGGTCAGCGGGCATGCGGTCGAGGGGCAGAGAGTGGACAGTGGATGGCTGACCCCTCTGCTTTGGCAAGAGGCAGAATTCAGATACTTGAGGGTGAGATACTCCTGGCTCCTCCCGCAGGCACCATGGAACCTCAAGGCTCCAGGGCTCCTCAAAGGTGGCAGAGCAAAGCCTAAGGCAGCCCTGTTTCCAGCAATAGGAGAATCACATGTCCGGGCCCTCTGTCGTCCTTCCATAGCAGAGCTCCAGGACCAAGGCAGGACCGAGGCCCTGGGATGGGGCGTGGACTCCAACATGGTAAAGGAGAGGCTCCTGGGGGTGCGTGGAGGTCCTCTGGGGTTGGGAGGACGACACTGATGAGTCACTGAAGCAAGGGCAGGAGGCCAAAGTTCTGAGGTGTGGGCGCTACACGAAAGCCTCCTGGTTGGATGAGCCGTTGAGCTTGAGGAAAAGCTTGTCGTCTTCCCTCTTCTGCTGCAGCTGTTTCTCCAGCTGGCGCCGGTACCAGATGAGGTAGAGAGGAAGGCAGAACCCCAGCATGCTTACGCCAAGCAGCCCCACATTCACCTGGGGTGGCAGGGGTGAGAGTTGCCATCACGTGAGGCAGGGAACCAGGCGAGGGATTATGATCTTTTGCAGAGCCCAGCTCAAGACCCTTCCTCACATGGATGTTTGGGAAAGAGAAGGTCACAGAAAAGGAGAGGAAAAACTGGAATGTTTAAGAGGCTGGAGGGCCACATTCCAGCACCAGAATTCCCCAGTTGTCTATAGGCCACCCAGCAGCCCTCAGGGCTGGCCCTCCCCGCTCCACCCCACTTCAGACCTACTGATCTGAATCTCCACGCGTGGGTCACGGTCAGCAAGTAGGTTTTATTTATCCCCAAATCAGGTGCAGAAAGGACACTTTTCTCCTCCTGCCTGGCCACCATTCACAAAGGGACAGTGAATTCATTTTAACCAAACTTTCCAAACTGCCTGTCCTCGGGACTCTGGAAGCCCCAGAGCAATGCCTCTCAGCTCCCAGCCAGCAGAGTGGGGTAGATGCCCATAACCCACTGCCCCCTGGCCCTTCTTACCCAAAGAGGGTCTCCATGGAGGGGACCCATCATGGCCAGAAACAGAGGCTGCTGCAGGAGAGCGAAGAGAGCACTGACCAGAGACTGCAGTCCTGTGAGGCTGCCGAACTGGGTGGAGGGGTACCTGCCGGGGCAACAGAGAACCTGTAACTGAAGGTGCTGCTCTCAGGCTTTACAAATGCTCCTTGGCTTCAGCCTGGCCCCAGGTACACTGGTGTCCCAAGGCCGCACCTTTGGTGCCAGAGATGAGGCAGGTACAGCCTCAGAAAATAGGCAGGGTGCCTGCCTTCGGATTACTTTCTGTTGAGCAATTCTGCAAAGTGAATTTCTCTTTCAGACCATCTGAGGCCCCAGACTCTGGGGAGGACCCCACCCTGCCCAGGTGTGCCCTGGGCCTGTAGGTGTCTGGCTAAGCTGAATGGAAAGTGTGGTGCCAGTGGGAGTCTGCGGTTTGGGAAACAGGCCTAGGAAGCAGGTTGGAGATTAGGCCTGGCTCTGTTGCGCCCTCATCCAGAGGAGCGTTGTGTAATCACGGAAATGCAGCATCACAGCTCTCGGCTGACTCCCTCAGACCCTGCCAGGGCAGCCGCAACTTCCTCCAGGCCTAGGGGCTGGGGGACGTGCAGACCTGGAATGACTCCCCATGCAACGCTGGGGAGAGAGTTACGGCAAAATCTCAGAAAACGTCAGGCTTTGGGGCCCGAGAGGTGGGAAGGGGCTCCCAGCAGGGAATCAGCTGGTCTTCGGTCAGAGAGAGACAGCAGATGGTGTTTGGATGCCAGTGTTTGAGCCAAGCCCTGGCCCAAGGAGGAAGAACACTGTGGTTCCTAATGCAGAGGAGGCAGGTTTCACTTTAACCAAGGCCTGTGAAAGCTGCGGGCAGAATCGGGCCCCACAGATTCTGGGTGAAAACCGTCTGCTACATTCTGGGCTCAGTTACCCATGTCTCTTCCCCTGCTGAGGGCCATTTAAATGTCAACATTTAGCTCTGGGCGGCCAGAATCCACCCCTGAGCAACCAGAGGCAGCCAGGACTCGGCTGGGCAGCAGCCCCCAAGGCAATGAGTTGCATGGGGCACTGACTCTGCTTGGGAGAACTGACTTCATGTTAAATGCCAAGACTTGTAGGCACCCAACTGTCTGCCCACTGACCCACCTCCCGCCAGGGATGACCTTCCCCTGACACAACCAACAGGAGCCCTGGTACCTGTCCCTTGATGCAAGAGGAACCCTGAGGGCAGGCTGGCCCCCCTTAGGACCTCAGTCCCACCACAAACCTCCCTTAAGTCGTTCCCTCACCCTCCGTCACCAGGCCACCCACAGCACCCAGGACTTACACAGCGGCGTACAGGCCCCCAATGGCAGAGTGAATGAATCCTCGCACAATGGTGTGCAGGATAAAGGAGACGATCTGCGGGAGCGAGAGCATAGCGTGAGCAGGAGACTGTGACAACCCTCACCTTGTTCCCGCAGCCCACAGCTCCTGGGGTCCTGTGCAGTGGGAGCATTGGCAACCCAGAGCTGGCTTGTGCCAGCTCTCCAGGGCCAATTCTTGAATTTTTAGGAATTTCCCAGGCCAGCTGTTAAACACATTACTAAAAACTTTATAAACTTACAATTAAACAAATTATATTAAAAATAAAGATAATGAACACTCAAAACTTGTCACTTCCTAATTATTTTACTGTTTTACTATTATCTGTGCTCTTAAGGTTTTTTATGGCATATATATACATATATACAAATATATACACACATATACACATACACACACACACATATACATACACACATACACACACACACACACACACACACACATATATATAAAATTAGAAATACCATATGATGGTGTGTTACTGTGATTCTCTTTTCAACTCCACAATTGATGACATAATATTGACTGAAATTAGCCACAAGAGTATTTACACCATAGAAATTGGCAAATGCTAAAAATCAGGGCACCCCCACCCCCACCAAGAGTCTGTTAAATATGCATTGGAAGCACTAAGCAGGAGGTCACTAATCATGACTGGCTCTCTTGCCTTTGCTAACATGAGGGCTGTGCCCAGAGGTCTCCCTACCTGGTCACCCAGGCCCTACTGTCCCCTCCTTAGGAATGCTCAGCTCCTGCTGGCAGGTTTACAAGCCCTGAGAAGCACTTGTTAATGATTTGAAAGGCTTGAGAGCTGTCCACTTTGTCACCAGGACCCTTTGTTTGTTCTTTATACACAGCCCTGCCATCCTGCTCAGCAGCTAGGACCTGCTCTGAGGAATGTGAGAGGTGGAGGGGACAGAGGCCGCTCTCTGCAGTGTTGAAAGAGGGCTGCACCCGAATGTGCAGGCACATACTTGGACAAGCTCCCCCTTTCCACTTCAAATGCCTTGTTGCTTTTTCATAACTTTTCTTTCAATGAGAACTAAACAAACAAACAAAAACCAAAAACAGATGACTGTCCCCATTAAGAACTGTCCCTCGATTGGACAACGTGGTCAGGGCAGGGGTCTGTCAGTTTGCAGAAAGGACAGCTACCAGAAGGCCGGGAGGGCTCCAAGGAGGTAACAGCACTCCTACCTGGAACTGGTACAAGTTTCCAATTGTTGACTCTGGTCTGCACGCACAGTGTCGGCACATACAAGTGATAGTACCCGTGGGTGGTGGTGCACACCTGGGAATTCAATGTACCTCAACACGTGGGCACTTGTAAAAAAAGAAGGAACGCTTGCTTTCCTCCTAGATCTAGCCCAAGATACCATCTGGCCTTGGGCTACGCCCATCTGGAAGCAATGCCATCCCTCACGTCCTTGCCAAGTTTGTAAACTTGGGGGTTGGGGTTAGAACACTTTCATGGACCTAAGAGTGGAGTCAGGCAGGTGACTAAATCTACCTCGCTCACAATCTCTGCCAAAAGTCAGGTTTCAAAAGCATCAGAAGCCTTGTGGAATGGGATTAAACTTTTGAACCCAGATGCCAGGCGACAATCATAATCTTTTCCCACTCTCTCCAATTGGAGACCCCTGTAGGCACGTTTGTATCTGTTTAGTTTCCATCAATGCCACAGATTAGCCAGACCTCTCTGGACATCAGATGTCAGCTATTTGAGCAATGCAAAATAAGTAGCCACAAGGCCTGACATAGTTCTGGAAAACAGTATGACGATGGTATTCGTGGTATGCAAATGCACAAAAGACCAAGAGCAACGATATGCCTTCGTAAAGAGTCTTCCGTGAAAGGCAACCCCAGTATCATTTACAGCTCACTCCCAGCACCAAGCACAGAGGCTGGTAGGTAAAGAGGCGCTTGATAAATAACAGTGGGCTGGTTAGTTGGTTGGTTGAATTAAATGAAGAGTTACCATTCTCTTCGTTGATGGCTTTCATGACACATCATGCACCTTTTGGTCTCGTTGTCCCCTCCCTCACCTGTCCTCTCCCTCTCCCCACACCCACCTGTAGAGGCAGGTTGGGAATGAGGCAGGTCACCCCAAAGCCCACGAGCAGCACATTTGTGAAGGCAAAAGCCCGCATGGCGTTGGTGACCTTCTGGATCTGCCGGTCCCGTTTCTTCTTCTTCTCACCTCTGTGGAGACACAGAGCACACACTGGAGCTGGGAGCTCCCTGGAGGAGGATGGGCTCTCCCAAGAAATCAGGTCTGGCGAGTCACAGGTTGTAGACAACTCAAGGCTCAGCGACCACCCAAGCACGTCTTAGGGACTGGCAGAGCTAGACCAGCACTCGGGATACTCCCACTGTACCCTCTTGACTCAGCGCTGGGCGTGAACCTCAGGGGAGAGGTCAGATACAAGATGGATGGTCGTCAGCACACTGCACTGCTTCAGTGAAGACTGAGCTCAAAGGATGGGGAGGGAAGGAGCAGAGTGTGCCCAAGTTAGGACGTGGCAAAGCCTCACTTCATCATCATTAGCTTCAACTACATCCAAATCCTGCAGGGAGCGAACGATAAGGCAAATAATAAACCAAATAACGGAGGGAGCGGATTTCCCCTTGGCGGGGGGGGGGGGGGGGGGGGGTGAGCGGGGGTGAAGGAGAAACAAATATGCAGTAGATGGAACCCGAATGGGCACAAATAACCTCTTGGCGGTAGGGCCTGACCTAGATAACAAAGCATTCTCTATAATTATTTCCTTGTGGATTCACTATTACTGATTCTAGTCTCACCGCCCACAGAGACACCCCATGGGCAGTTGTAGGACATTGAAGAATGAATGCCAAGTGCTGGGAGGTGTGTAAAGAGTCCCAAGCCCACCACGTCCTTACTGTGTGACCTCAGGCAAGCTACTTAAACTCCTAGCTTCAGTTCCCACATCTGTAAAATGGGTATCACATTAGTACACACCTTATCGAGGTGTCATGAGATACTATGCGGTAAGTGCTTGGCACAGGGCCTGATACAATAAACAGTAACTTGTTATACTAAGGTGGAGTCACAAAACGCATTTCATTCATCCTCTGATCTTAGTGCCCGATGTTTATATAAAGTAGGGCTCCAGTACCTCATTCATGCTCATGGTCATGAACAAATCTATTAACACCTCTTAGGGTTATAGCAACTTCCTAGTCCCACCGTGTGGGATGAGACTTCTAGGCCAGCAGCACTGCTTAAGGTCTTTCATCCATTGTGCTTCTCACGCTAAGGATTTGAGTGTGGTCCTAAAAGCAGAATGGTTTGATATCCAATGTCTGCCAGACCTTCTTCTGGTTTCTCCCCTTCTTTCATCCAATCCAGTGCTTCCCAAAGTTCAGCCTATCAAAGAATTTCCACGAAGAAGTGACAGACCTAAGTGCATGCTGAGCTGAGTGAGAGAGTGTCTTACAGCCCTTAGGAGAGTAGCCTTGAGCACAACCCTCTCTGGCCTCTTCTGCTGACTTTAAAAAACCTCACCCACCCACCGTGTCCCTGCCTAACATCTAACGCGGGGGTTTCTTTCTCCACAGGCTGGGCCCCAGGGCACAGGTCCGGCCTACGCACTGGTTGGTGTCTTTCTCCTCGGGCTCATCAGAGGCATCTTCACACTCCTTCAGCCTCCAGTCCATGATGTAGCCGATGACAGGGGCTGTCAACAGGCAGAGCAGCTGGAGCACGCCGAAGATGGAGGTGTAGAGGCTAACTGGGAAGGAAGATGGGCAGTGTCATAGGTGGCTCCTTGCAGAGGCCTGGGGCAGGCGCCGGGCAAAGTCTGAGACCCCACAGGCTCTTCTGGGGTCTTCCCCAGACCTCTTCTTGTCACTGTGGGTCTCGAGGTGACCGCAGAGACCTTAACCTCTAAAACCAAAGCTGGAACAAGAAGTAGGCACCCTATTCTCTTCCAATGCCCTGCTTTTTACCAAGAAACAACTAATGAAATCCAGTATGTTACAGTGGCCACCCCCAGCAGCTCCAGGAAGCCTCTACGATCTGGGAACCACAAAATTACAAATTCTGGGACTGAGGCTTTGCGTAAGACTGGCCATTAGTTTTCTGCTCTAGAAATATACCAGGAAGGCACCACTCACAGGGGTTCTGACGTAAGGGCTTCAATCTTCAAAGAACCTTAAAATTAAGATGGGACTTTTTGGACAAACAGAAACTGGAAGTGGACTGCCCCACCCCCAACCCACAGTTTTGGACAAGAGGGATATTTGGAATTCAAGGCAAAGCGTTTCTACAGAGACTGGCTGGGAGGGAATGTTGCAATATTCCCCAGCAATGTCACCCTGCTTACCAGTAGCCATCACTGCATCAAGAAAGCAAAGTGAAAAAAACAGAAAGGAGCGAGGTTAGCAGCAGCAATCTCAAAGGTGGTTATAGGGAGAGGGGACATGGAGGCAGGCTAGCTCTGGACCCAGCACACATGTCATTTCCCACCCAGACCTGAATCTCAGAGCACCCATGGGTGGCTGAGAGGAGGCGGAAGAGGGCCTAACATGGGTGCCTGATGACGTTTTCCTGTCTGCTGGGGCCTCAGTCATGTGCAGCTGGTACCCTGTCACAGGCAGGCTGATGAATCAGGCCTATGACTTGCCAAGGACCGTGATGGGGAAGTGGTGTGGGTACAGAAGACCTGGCAGAACTCATTGTCGTGTGGCCCGAGGGACACTGCTCTGGTATAGTTGCACTCCAAGGGCAAGAGAGGTCAAACAATCCACCCTGACCTCCAGCTAAGCATCGGATACCATGGGTCTCCACAGACAGCCAGAGCTGGTCTCCTGTCCACCCCACCAGCTCCCTGACCCTGAAGCCACCCCTCTGGGCACATCTGGGGCTGTGGGTGTCATGTACAACATCTCACCGGAGCAGGATGGGGGAAAACCAATGCCCTGTAAGCTTGAATTTCCTGGCCCAACTTCCTCTACTTCTTGAAACTGACTTCTTTGAATGTGGGAAACAGTTGGAAAAAATTCCTCTTGGACAGCAAAAGATTTCTCAGACAACTCAAGTAAAAAGCCACGACTCAGCAGCAGGGAGTTTGCATTCCAAGGGCCAGTGAGGACCCTTCTCTGCATACTTCAGGGTCTCCACCTTTCTGGGCCTGAGAGTTTATAAGAGAGGGTGTTCAGACATGATAGATCAGCTTTCCCCAAAGTTCAGTCCACAGATTTTAGTGAGTGTTACATAATAGAAGTGTTCCTATAGGGGCAGCTGGTTAGCTCAGTTGATTAGAGCGCAGTGCTCATAACACCAAAGTTGCCAGTTCAATCCCCACATGGGGCACTCAGCTGCACCCTCCACAGCTATTGGGTTGTCAGAAAAGTCATGATGCATTTTTGCAATGAAAAACATAGAAAAAATACGTCATGACTTTTCCGACAACCCAACAGATTGAAACAACTACTTGACTTGGAGCTGATGGGTCCTGGAAAAACACACTGTTCCCCAATAAAAAAAACCCCAAAACAACAACAACAAAAAAAATGTGTTCCTGTAGTAGAAATTTGGGGGGACATCACTGGACTCAACAAAGCCAAATAGGTTATTTTTTCCTGTAGGGCTCTCTTAGGGCCTTTACTATGTCAGCATTCATTATGAAATTTTCCAAGGGCACATGATAGTGCTTCTCCATGGGATGCCCATTTTCACAGAGGAACCACCGTTGTCTGGGTCTCTTTGTCATCCTTCCCTTTTGTTAAGGCTAGAATTCTCATGCCCTTTAAAAACTGTATTTGATTCCTTACAATCCCTAGGGGGAAACAATTAAACCAACAAAAAAGTTGCACACCAACGAGACTGCCAATAAAAAGGATTTACCGAATGTGTTTGTCCGGTTACGGATGACTAAAGCTGACTCAGCTCAGGCCCTGAGGAAGTACTGACTTTCTTTTTTTTGTAGAATCAAAACCTCTAATCTGCTAAAGACCTTCTATGCTGTTTTGGAAAGTGGCGTGTGGGTTATCTGTTCTGTTTACCAGACTTAACAAGTCTGGACTGGATTACATAAGTGAGTGAGGAAGATTCGCCGGCTTTACTTCCAGTTCAGGGTACAGATCCCAGTGCAGACCAAATTGCCCCAAAGTCTCCAGCCACAGTGGCCCAGGCACCCCCTTCGGCACCCAGCCTTTCTGTGTACCAACCCAGCAGTTTCCCAGGGGATTCTTGGCGCTGGGTTTGATCGGCTGTCTTTCAGCAGGTTCTCAGGTGGAGTACTCTGTTCCATGCAATGTTTTCATTTACAAACACACGTCAACCATCCCCTTTAGGCAATGAAAAACATATACCTCACAGCCCAAACACATGTAGTTATTTTAGTCCTCTCCTCCCTCCTAAACTGGGAAACTCTAATGCGGACATGAAAGAACAGTTGGGGCTGGCTATGACTAAATGGCTCTGACCAGCAACTAGTCCCTCGGACTCTGTCATTTCACGACACTCTGGTCCAGCCCAGCCTAACACCATAGTAGTGGGCTTGACCTCAGGTGGCAGGAGTGACCACTGTTTGGGCCTGAGGTGTGTGGGGGGGTGCCCTCCTGTGAGGCTGTGCACGGAGGTCCAGGGGCCACCTACCTACGCGCTGGTCGCCGCTGACCAGGAATTTGAGGATGTTGTTCATGGCGCCCATGTAGAAGATGAGCCGCAGCTGTGTAACACACATGGTGACGAGGCTGAGCAGCAGGATGGGGCTGAATATGCTGTGCATAAAGGAGGGGGCCGCTGTGGGGAGAAGGCCACAGGTGGTCAGGGAGAACCGAGGCTGGTACCGCCGTGGCTCCCAGCCCACCAGCCATCCAAGGACCCAGGGTGTGGGGAGGGGAGGCCGATTTGCTGACCAAATCATTCTACGCTGGATGCAACGATGGGCCAGGTGAGGTTAAAGGGGTGGATGCAGGAGTTGGGTCACCCAGCTGTGTAAAACAAGCTGGGTGAATCCCTTACCCTCTCTGAGCTCATCAGTAAACCAGAGTGCTCATCAGTAAGCCAGGGTGAATGGCACAGCCTGCCTTTTTGGAATGAAGTGGGAATTAAGTGCGACAATACCCACAAGGCCCTCAGCCACAGTGCTGTCCCCTAGGCCCGGGCTAAAGCTTCTAGGATTGGCTGCCCCTCCCTATCTTGGGGGTGTGGGTGTGGGTATGGATGCAGACACGCCTGCTGACATCTCAGGCAGGCCTGGATGGCAAGGGCCTCAAGATGGGTACCTGCAGCGTCTGGCTGGCACTTCACCTCCAGGTCAACCGTGGACAGGCACAGCTTGTGGCCCTCCTGCAGCGCTGCTTGCTCCTTGGTGCTCCTCATGGAACTGCCCACGCTGAGGCGGCGTCCCACCGTTGTCACCTGCTTGTAGAACTGCTTCCCTGTGATCTTGTGGTCAAAGCCCAGCCAGCTGAACTTGATCTTCACCCTGGAGGCCACAGGAGTGTCCGTCAGCGCCGCCTGGGGCCCTGGCCGGGGTAGGGGTGAGGGCAGACAGCATGTCCACTTACGAGTAGTCCATGTCCTCTGGCCCTGGGAAGGGCTCCAAAGGCCAGTTAAAGAAGCAGTTGAGGAAAACCAGCCCAGAGCAGGCGGCCCAGACCACAAGGATGACGATGAAGGAGGCACCAAAGTCATAGATGACCTGAAAGACACAAGGGGGTAAGGGCAGGGCCAGTGGGTAGAGTTAGCACAGGAGAGCCAGGCAGACAGCAGCAGGAGGCATCTGGCAGCCCTGCTGTCCCTGTGCCCAGCTGCATGAGGCGGCCCAGCCCTGACAAGCTGGTGTTCGGTCATCAGGTATCCCATATCCTGATTATCCCAAATTCCCCTGGCATGTCATTAACCCTCTGTGCCTCTATTTTGAACCAGATGTCACTTCCTTGGGGAGGACTTCCCTGACCACCCCCATGACTGCCCTATCACTGGATCACAGTGAATAGCCCTGGCTGAGAATATTGACATCTTGATTCATTTATTTGTCCACTGTTAATCCAGCTCCCTGAGAACAGGGACCTGTTGGCCTTGTCCACTGATGTTGCTCCAGCACCTTGAAGAGCACACATAATAGGAGCCAAAAAATACTCGAGGAATGAAACAGATGGCTGTCTCACTTTGCTCCTCTGTGAAATAGGCGTAACACTGGCACGTGCCCTCATGGTGTTGTGGTGGGGGTGAAGCAGGTGTGTTCCTGGTAGAGTGCTCAGTGGTGGTGGGGGGGGAGGGGGCTGCTGAGCACGAGCATGTTGGCTGTTATTGTCATTTTACCGTTTATTTCCAGCACAAGAGTCCCCAGAGTGCTGGCAGGCAGCTGCCCAGCTCCCCAGAGAGGAGACCAGCAGCTAGACACTGAGATAGGATGATGAGGCACGTGTAGGCTTCTCTACACTCCAGGAGTATGAGAGTCCCTACAAGTCCACAGGATGCCTGGCCCTAGACCCTCCAAGTACCTCGATTCCCAGGTGACCAGCCCACATCTGTGACTCCTTCTCCTCATCTATGGCCTCCCCACACACCACACACCTCAGGAAAGGGGATTTTACTTGCTGCTGGTGTCAGAGGAAGGAGAAGCCCCTTCTGAGGCCCTGGCAGGAGCAACAGGATTTGGAATGGGAACTGGAGCTGATGGGCTATGAGGTGTTTGATTCCTGCTGACCCTGTGTGACTTCCATGGGCTCAGAATCCTGCCTGGGAGGGAAACAGCTGAACCAACTTGGCTGAGAGCAGCACTTTGGCTGATGGGGAGTAACAGCCCAACAACAACAGACCTGAGGGTGGGGAGACTGGAGTTGGGCTCCGGATGGGGAACAAACTCACCCACCCCCTTTCTCTACCCCAGCCCAGAAATGCAAAGGCATCCTGAGGTGACACCCTGTAGTGATATGCTTGAATTTCCCATCCCCCATGGCCCAGGGGGTTTCTTTTCTTACTCCCATGATGCCCAGGTGCATCCTCCCAGGTGTGGGTTGTGGGGAGAGGCCAGCCCCGGCGCCCACAATTCCCTCTTCAGGGAGGATTGAAGAAGCCTTGAGAGAGGCCTCTGTTCAGATACCGGTATAAAATATATGTGCTGGAAACTGGTGGGCCACACCCTCACCTTGATTCCGGGGAAGGTGACTGCTGAGGAAGCATAGGAGCCAATCATCAAGGCAATAAACGTGGACCGAAGGTCACCAAACATATTGGGCAGCTGCAAGACAAGAAGCAAAGGAGACTTCAGCTGAGAGAAAGGACAGAGGACTGATAAAGGAGGAGGGGAAGAGAGGATTAGGACATCCTTAGGCACCCTTTTTTATCTGCTCTCCTCAAGTAATTCACAGGGGAATTAGTCCAGGGGATAATTACTACTAATTGAAAGTTTTTCCTTCCTGGGCTGAGGTTGATAAGGGGAGGGGAGGAGCATGAGGCAGAATTCAGACTCTGGATGTAAGGACAAAGCTATTGGGCTTCCTGGTTAGCAGTGGCCAGGGGCCTTCCTATCTTCGCAGTATTACACAGAGATGCCAGCGAGCAAAGCTGGGAGCCTTGCATCCCTCAAAGGGAGCAAGCCTGTTAAAAATAAGAATCTATTTGGGAACAAGAGTCATTTTATAAATAAAAATATCAGTGTCCCAGAAGGACCAGATGTCAGCAAAAGCTACTTTCGGTTCTGAGGGAGTAGATTTCTGGAAGGTGCCAATCAGAATTCTATAGTACCCTCAGGGCTGACAAGGAAGCTGGCCTGGGATTTCTGCTTCTGAATTTCCAAGTGCTGGAGGGCCTTCCCCTTTCCACCTGGTGTTTTGCTCCAGCAATTGCACCAGAAAAGGCCAATGGTAAGAAAGGCTCAGGCTCTCCTCCCAGCGAGGTCACACTTTTCCATCTCACATAGGCTCATTCTGGGTCCATCCAACACACACTTCAAAGCTCAAACCCTTAGCAATTCCACACAAATCTAGGCATGGTAAAACAGGATAATGCAATCACAGATTCAAAAACAGATACGGAGCAAAGTACATCCCCCAAACAGCCAGTCACAACTTCTCCCACGAACTTCAAGAGAAACTGCACCCATGCTGTGAAGGTTTTCCACCCACACCCACAATATTACCGACATTGAGGATGCTCTCTGGATAGCTATGCTGATCTGTTTTGTTGAATTCAGATTGTTGATGTGGACCTAATCTATGTTCCCTTCCCCTATTTGTCTGCAATCATTTTGGGGTTTTATCAACAGAAGCAGTTTGAACTTGGCTACATACCTGGTCCCCATCATTTCTGCCTATTTTGTGCACAATTAAAAATGAGTAAGGCATACATCAAATCATCATGTTGTACACTTAAAACTAATGCAATGGTATATCTCAATAAAACCGGGAAAAATGAGTAAGGGACATCATCAAAATTCTTGATGGTGTGCTTCAAAGGATACCATCAAGAAGCTAAAAAAACAGGGCCGGCCGAGTGGCACGATGGTTAAGAACTGGCTTGGGACACCAGAGGGCCCCGGTTCGGATCCCACATATGAGGGTCAGTGACACTGCCCTCCACAGCTAAGATGCTGAACAACAGCTCAACCTGGAGATGGGCTGCCGTGAATCGCCGGCAACGGCTTAGGCTGCAGCCCCTGTGGCAGTGAGTTGCCATGGGCTACCGTGTGTAGCCAGCAGCCAGCGTGAGCGGCCAGCAGCCGCAGTGAGCAGCTGTCCAGAAGCCGGCAACTGATCTGCCTCGCCCGGGAAGAGCGCAATGATGGTGCCAACTTGGGCAGTGAAGCAACGTCCTCCACAACTAGACTGAAGAACAAAACGACAGCAACTTGTCTGTTCCCCTTCCTCTAATTCCCCAGCGCTGTTCCATTCCCCCAATTCCCCAATAAAAAATCTTAAAAAAAAAAAAGAAGCTAAAAAAACAATGCACAGAAAAGTTTTACAAATCATACATCTGGTAAGGGATTTGTATCTAGGCTACATAAAGAACTCCTACAATTCAATAATAAAGACATAAATAACCTATTTTTAAAAAGGGCAAAAGATCTGAATAGACATTTCTCAAAAAAATATATGCAAATGGCCAATGAGCACATGAAAATATACTCAATATTATTAATCAAAGGGAAATGAAATCCAAGCCGCAATGAGATACCACTTCATGCCCTCTAGGGTGGCTATAATAAAAAAGTCAGATAATAACAAATGTTCTGAGGATATAGAAGAATTGGAACCCTCATACAACGCTGGTGAGATGTAGAATGGTGCAGACACTTTGGAAAAGTCTGGCAGTTCCTCAGTTAAACACAGAGTCACCAAATGATCCAATCCTTCCACTCCTAGGTAGGTATCCAAGAGAAATGAAAACAATGTCCACACAAAAACTTGTACACATTTACAGTAGCATTTTCATAATATCTAAAAAGTAGAAACAACCTCAGTGTCCATCAACGGATGAATGGGTAAAAAAAAATGTGATCTATCTACACAATGGAATATTATTCAGCCATAAAAAGAAATGAAGTACTGACATGTGCTACAACATGCATGAACCTCAAAAACATGCTAGGTGAGAGAAATCAGTCACAGGGGACCATATATTGTATGATTCTATTTATATGAAATGTCCAGAATAGGCAAGTCCATGGCAATAGATAATGGATTAGTGGTTGTCAAGGGCTGGGGTAGAGGAACCTAGGAGTAAATAGGGAGAAAACGCTAATGGGTACAGGGTTTCTATTTCGGGTGATATACTTGATTATGCTGATGACTACACAACTCTGGGAATAGACTAAAAAAACAGGGTACTGGGCCATCTGAGTGGCTCAGTTGGTTAAGAGTTCGCTCAAGAGTGCAAGCTCTGAGCAACAGGGTCGCCGGTTCAATTCCCACATGGGCCCGAGCTGAGCTGCCGCTGAGCTGCCAACAGGTGGCAGGATGGCTCAGCTAAAAAAAAAAACAAACAACAACAAAAAAAACAGTGCATTGTATACTTCAGGTGAATTATATGGTATGTGAATTATGTCTCAATATCACTGTTAAAAAAACATAAATAAAGGTACTTAAGATGTTTTGGAATCCCAGGATTGAAAAGGAACATGAATAAATCTATAGTTATGTCCAACTAAGCCATGTTCTGGCATGAGGCCAGGGTGGCCGTCCAGGCTCCCTAAAGAATTCCCAGCACACAAAGAGCTCTTCTTCTAGCCCCAATGTAGACTGGACCCTCTGTCCAACTCAGGCTTCTCAGGGAGGGTCGGAAGAGGACAAGGAGCATACGGAAATTCCCCCAGCTAGAGACAGAGGAAATGTGATGTGCTCATGTGTGCCTGGACTTACTCAGGTGAGCACTAATGGTGCCCAGTCTTAGTCTTTGCACACCTGCCTCCCAGGAATGCTGTGATTCAGAGGACATGCTTCGGTTCCTGAGCTCACATATTTAGGCTGCTCCATGCTGGCTATTGCAGCAAGGCAGCCATCTCTGGGGCCATAACTGCCCGAGGGAAAATCCAAACACTAGTTCTGCTTATATGGAAGCCGGGAACTGTTCCCAGCTGAAATGCCACTGCAGCCAGGGCAGGTGAAGGAAGAAAAGGATCAAAGAGGACTCAGAACCCAACCAGAAGAGCAGGTGGAGGACAAGAGCCTGATGTAGCAAAGACCACTTGGCGCAGTCAAGCCACCAAAGGAGCAGTCACCTTTGGACACAAAGAGTGTCCAAACTTTTCAACAGGGCTAGGGGATACTCCAGAGAAGCAGACAGCTTGTGAGCTAGCCTTTTTCCTTCTCCCTTAAGTCCAACCTTGCCCTAATTCTATCTCAGGCTAGAGGTCAACAGAACCAGGGTTTGGGGCTAGCATGCAACTCTGACCTGATCTTCTGGATTCTTCTTCCTAGAACTAGCTCCAGGTCAGGGAAGAACAGGAGGCTGGAAGAGGAGATGACGGTGATCCGTCTGCCCCTGGATGAGACAGACTCCCGCCCTCATATCTGGACAATGGCAACAGCTTTCCAGCTGCCTTCCTTGCTGTCCTGCCTCTCTCTGCCTAGAACATTCTTAGCAACACCAAGAAAATTCTCCTCCCCAACATGTTATTTTGGTCAGCAGGGCTATTCCTAGGGGAGTACAGAGCCTCAGGGCAAACCATACTACACAGCATTCCCGCCAACATCAACGTCCTGTATTTTAAATTATGATTATTTTTCCTGATTAGAAAAGCAATGCACATCCATTGTAAAACATCTGGAATAAAGTACACATAAAGAATAAAATAAAAATCACCCTGATATAGCCACATTACCATTTCGATGTATTTCCCTTTGATATGTTTCTTATAAATACCTATAACTTTTGTCAAAATTAGGATATGCTACATATTGTTTTATAAGCTTTTTCTTTTTTATTTGATATGTTATAAATGTTTTCTAATTTAGTATTCATCTTCAACATACTTCGTAATGACTGGTATTTCTTTATCTGAATGGTCTATAATTCATAGATTTCTCTGATGTTGGACCTCAGGTCCTTTTAAATTTTTATCATAAATAACATTTCAATGAACATCCTTGAAGATAAACATATATGCACATAGCTACTATTTCCTTAAGATAAATTCCCATGAGCAGAATCATTAGACAAAAGGGAACGTACATTTTTAAGTTTTTGTCATCCTGTGCCAAATTGTCTTCCAGAAAATTTAACACCAATTGATACTCCCACCAGCAGCATAGTAGAGTCTCTATTTCACTGCAGCCACTCCAACATTATGCATTATTATTCTTAATATTTGCCATTTTACCAATATCCTTGTTTTAAAATCCATTTCCTTGTGAATATGGATAAAATGAATCAATGACTGATATTTGCTTCAAAATAATCTGGATGGTGGGTGGACCTAGAATGAAGCAAGAGTGGTCATGAGTTGATAACTAGTGAAGTTGCAAGTACATGGGGTTCATTACACTATTCTCCCTAATACCATCTATATTTAAAATTTTCCTGAACCATACGATTCACTGATATGTGGTATATGAAACTGAAAACAACAAAGGAACAAGACAAACAAACGAAGAAACAAAAACTCATAGACACAGACAATAGTTTAGTGGTTACCAGAGGGTAGTGGGGGAGGGGAGTGGCAGATGAGGGTAAAAGGGGTCAAATACATGGTGACGGAAGGAGAACTGACTCTGGGTGGTGAACACACAATGCGATATATAG